GATAAAAAAATAATGACAATATTGACTGTCTAAGAATGACTAAAGAAAGGACATTAAACACGTAGCATGCATAAGCAATGCTACATTCAACAAGTAAACACGTAGCCACATAAATAAGTAGGCATGCTTGCACATCATTAAACAATTAAGCACATTGGCATAAACACAGAAGCATGTAAGCAAGGAAACAATCAAGCATGCTTGTCAAATAACAAAACACATTAACAAGTAATCACATAGACAATGCAAATGGCTTCCCACACAACCCTAGGTAGGCCTCTACCCGTCGTCCTAATGGTTTTCGAACCTCGCTCTGATACCACCTTTGTAACACCCCAAACCTGAGTCCTGGCATGCGAACATACCAATGAACAGGAAAGGCGAACATATCCCATTGGCTACTAAGTTATCCCGAGTCTTCCACACCTGTCTCAACATACATTTCACAGCCTACCTTTATGTAATCACATTGTACATGAATAATGAAATTGAAAAGCTATAAACGCACATTCATAATTTTCCCCGAATATATATATCCCAAAACATAAGTCCTTAGAGTTCATTAATTACATGTCGTTGAGGAAAGTGTACTAAAAATACAACTTTAACATTCACATGACTTTTACATAATTACAACATATACATTGATACAAAACAAAAGATGTCACGAAGGCAAGTCTGAGTCAATCTAGGTTTGTGGAGGGAGGTCCTCGCCTACCTCTTTTCCGTGTCCTGGAAAAAAAATATAAGAATGATGGAGTGAGCGCAATGGCTCAATAGTAGTTGCCTAAAACGCACTCCTTAATACTTTTATGAATTTACACAAAGAATAGCTATAAGTAAAAGGGATCATGTTTGTCGGGAGATACAATCATTCTACAATGCAATTCTATGAATGAAATGAAATGCAATGCGAATAAAATGTCAATGCCACTCCCCATTTCCAAAATTTCATCCAATGCCTCAATCGTCAAATCGTTAATGTAACCCGGCCCAAGGTAACTCCCTGACGCCACGAGAGGAGGATTGGCTAACTATCCTTGACCTAAGGTAACTCCTTAGCGTCATTTGGGGCCTAGTAACTCAACCACACGCAAGGCAAGCTCCCTACATCCTTTCTAGGTCCCATTAACGGCATGGACACAAGGTAACTCCTTGTTGTCCGGTTTTCACAAACAATCTTTCAAAACATTTTCCCAAAAATCAAATTTTCGTCCTTCCAAAAATTCAGCTTTTGCCCCATTTGATACCCAATGTAATGCATGAATGATTACATGTTTTTCAATGTCATAATATTGTAGCATTTCTACATAAAAACTCAGTCCAATAAACCATGTTTCTAGCAGAAAATTATCAAGGTAGCTTTCATGTAATAAACTCATTCACATTGTCATCAACTCCACATAACTTACATGGCAAATTGAACATAGTAAACATATAACAATTCAAGAACTTCATACACTTGCATATATACTATTAAACATGTCTAATTTCAGTTTTGAGCACATAATACACCATCATTACATAAGCTCAAATTTCAGATTTCTAATCACACAAAACAGTCCCAAAATTTAAGGTACACTGGGCATGAAATTTTCAGTTTTGTAGTAAGAACATTACAACTATTATAAGTACTAATTTTCAGTTTTAACACATATGATATAGCCAATATTAAAGAAACAAAAATTCAATTTCTAGTACATGCTACACACCATGACAAAAGTTAGAAATTTCAGTTTTTGAATCACACTTAGCATGCTTGAAAAGAGGTTCAATTTAAAGAAATTAATTCACTAGAAATAAAGGTTGTGAGGGTTAGAACAACTCCTACCTCTACAAGAGCTAAAACCCAGCCAAAAGCCACTGATTGATTGTCTAAAATCACCAACAATTGAGAAAAGATAAAGAACAAAAATGTTCCTTTGTAGTACAACCAAAGCTCCTTATTTCAAGACAAGTTTTGAAAAACAGTGGTTAAGGAATGGATTTAATTCTTGTATCAATGGAAAACTCTCTCCTTTATGGTCATTTTCTCTTCCAAGGGTTGCTCCAAAATTCCACAAGAAGGCCCTCAAAACCAAGCTCCAAAGAGAGCTTCAATGGAGTAGGAAATGAGAAGAAAGAAAGAAAAAAAAGAGGGAAGAAGAAACTGAGACTAGCTACCGAAAATGGGTCTGTAGGGGTTAGTGGAATGTTGTCACTTAGTGTATATGTGTCCTTTGCATGAGAAAAAGTTGCCAAGTGTAGTGCACGGTGTCAAGCAAAGGCTTGGTCAAAGCATGACCTTGCAAAAGTACTAAAACAACCCCCCAACATTACTAAAACCCCATCATGCCATTACCATAACAAAAGTCCATACTATCCCTTATACAAATTATGAATGGCATACAAAATAAAATAATCACAACAAAGAAAATATTGCGGAACCCGACGATAAAATAAACAAATACATGAGTGCGAAAAAATACTAGGAAAATCGAAAAAATGAAAGACACCACACACTATGTTTGAAACAAAGTACATTGAACTTTGACTCTGGCGCACACCTTATCGTTCTACCAAACACCAATTGCTGACAATCCTCTGGCTTTGCGACTCCTCGTCCAACAGCAACTTGACCTCAGACTTATGCTTGATATCTGTAGAAGAGTAATAGGTAGATCAGATAACACTCCTCAAATGCTCCAACCCTTTCAAAGTGTAATCGCTTTTACTTCTGTTCTTCAATCGTCTGAATTCGATGTAGAAGTAGATATACTTTTATCTGATCGATGTAGATGCAACAGTATGATCACGATCAGGATTTTGAACACCACAACTCTAAACTCACTATATGTTTATGTGTACGTGTTTTAGAAAGATGACAGATAAATCAATTTTGATTTTTTGCAAAAATAATCTTCCTAAGGCTTTTTAAAAATAATGAAGTTGTAGAACAAAAGTCGTGAATAAACTTATGTGTCTGACAAGGTTTATATTGAGTTTCAAAGTCATATTCCTTCGGAAAATAAAGGAAATTTCGTGCATAGGACTTTTGGTAAACTTTTAAACCAAATAGGAAGTTCAAAACTGATCAGGACTAAGTTTCCATAAACTGAAACAACAGTAATACCGGTAGGAGAATCTTGGTACCGGTTTCCAAAGGACAGAATGGAATTTCTCGAATATCAGCTTTTTGAACCGGTTCCCAAATTCAGGTACCGGTTCGCACTTGACAGAATCCAACTTGAACTTGGATTTTCTGTATTTTGATTACTCTGAAAATATACCTTATAGATATTTGTGTCCTAAGTGGGAAACGACTTCCTAATGTGTTGTTCTTTCCTTTTCGATGATCAACAGTATTTTCTTCTTTTGAACAACCTTCCATATTCCATAGTCAATGTCGATCCTGATATGGTAACTGAAATTACAACTCGACTATGACTTGTTTTGTTACCGAAATTAGCCATTTATAAAATAATATCTTCTTGGTAATCAATGACTCATTCTGGATAATGAAATTGTACCTTCAATGGCCATATAATTTGGATTGGAGATGTTCTTGTGAAATTTCTATGCATCAGACAATGTTTAAACATGGGTCTATGCACTTTTTTTATTGTTTATAACTCAGCATTAATATTTTAGCATTTGGTAAAAAGTTTTCGGAATAAATTCATTGAATTTATATTATATAATGCACAACCAATTCCTATAAGTTCTGTTTTATATTGTTAAAGAATGTACATTTGGTGAATGGATGTCTGCAACAATCTTAAATTTGTTTTGGCTACTTGAAGAAATTCAGGTAGTTTTTTTTTTTTTTTTTTTTTCCTTCTCTTTTTCCTCTTAATACTTTGGCATTGTTTTTAGATTATAAATTTCAGTGTGTTGATATTCTATTATATTACATTGAAAAAGAAACCTCATGTCTGAGAAACAAATTTGGGCAACAATTTGCAAATTATACGCCCATGCATTTGGTATCGTGATTAGATTATAACTAACAAAGCGGACAATATATACATAGGGGGGGCAGGTCGTGATAATTGGATCGATCAAATGTAGGTTTGAGCAATCAAACCTAATCTAGTGAGGGTCCATTGATGTTTCGATCAATATTTGAACTCCCTCTACATCTGATTTTTAGGAATTTTGATTTAAAGCAACTTTGATTCATTTGAAACTCCTTTTTAGGATCAAAACATATTTGTCAAAAACCCTAATAATCAATAATGCTAAGAATGTATTAGTATGAACCCTAATTTGGTGAGTGCAGAATTGATAGTTGAGTTTACTTTGGATTGGGTAACCCAACTAACTAACTTTTGAAAAATATGAACAAACTGAAATCGAAAATTACACTCTCATTTTTTCACGAAATTTGTGAACCTAAGTCCTATTGACCTAACAAATACTTGAAAAAAGATGTCTGAAATTTAAAATTTGCCATTGTCAAGGAAACCTGAAAGTGGCCACATATGAAGAAATATGAAGTTTCCAATTTTCCTATATGTTTACAATAAAGATGATTGCCTTCTACATTAAAGTGGAGTGCAAATTGTGAATGTGGGCATCCAAATAGGCTAAAAAAGTGAATGTTTTAGAAAATATTATTTTTGCCTAGGCTTGTTTTAGGGCCATCCTTTGGCTAGCTTGAGCTCTGTGCTAAATTATTTTAGCTTTCAGATATGGGCCTCATATTGGCCTCACTGGCAAGTTTGCCTGAATTTCATGGTTTGCCAACTGGCAAGTTTGCCTGAATTTCAAAGTTCACCAACTGGCTTCAGACCATGTTGGAGCATAGGCTTCATGTGCAACCTCCATTACTATATGAAGCGCTGAATTTGAGAGCAAGGATTCTCCGTATTTTCAAGTTTAGAAACATTTTCGAAAATTTTAATTGTTATGCTCTTTTATGTTGATATGCTTTTGTAGTAATATGTTTTGTAAAGTAATATGTTTTGTGGTTTGATACGAACAATTGTTGGTTTGATGATGTTGCTGTATCTTTTCAGGGAGCATCTGACTCATGGAACTTGCCTGTGGCTTTTATAAGCGTCATCATTCTTCCAATTGTAGAAAATGCTAGTGCAATCATGTTTTCCATGAAGGACAAGCTCGTGAGTGCTTGAAAGTCAGAACTGCTATTTCTTGCTTGTGTAATTGTGTTGAGTCAGTTAATTTACCTGTCTTCTTCTATAGGACATCACAATAGGAGTTGCGATAGGATCATCTACACGTATATTAATGTTTGTGGTAAGACTTGGAAATTTAATTCAATTCTTGATGCTAATTTTTGATGTTTGAAAAGGTCATGTTGCCACATTTTCTTTGAATTGTTTCCCCAAATTCTCTCTAGTTTAATGTTTAATTTAGTTTTTTGCGGGCAGGTATACAGTGATTCTCCATCACTTCTGTTACAGTTAGATAGCAACATTTCTGCATTTTGCTTAAGGTTAGTGGGTTAAGAATTTTGTGGGGTTGATAAATGCAGATTCCCTTCTGTGTGGTTGTTGGTTGGATTACGGGAGAAGCATTGGATTTGAACTTTCACCTCTTTGAGACAGCTACACTCTTTATCACAGTGTTAGTGGTGGCATTTATGCTGCAGGTTTGTTATCTATTTAATTAAATACATACCTGAATATGTATCCTGTTGCTTATATCCAGCTCTTATAAAACTCATCATATGCGTACCACCATGTGCATATTTCAGAGAGCTTAAACTATTTAAGGGAAGACAAAACTTACGTTGGTTGATATTGTAAATAAAGATAGGGTTGCATTATTGGGTAGAGCAGATTGGTGAACATGATTTATGTAGCTATTAATTGATAGTTGGGACGGGACTTTCTAGAGTTGAGTTGAAAATTGAAACAGCTTTTGGTTACTACGGTAAAAATATATACATAATGAAATGGCATTCCTGATGCTATATTTATAAATTTGCTGGACGAATATGACAGGCAAAGAAATCTATACTATACCGAATGGCTGCAGGTGGAACGTTAAGAAGCCTTCTTGGTTCAACATGTTTTATTTTAGGTTGTTCTAGTTGATACATTATTCAAAGTTCAAGCCATATTTATTGAGCTTCATTCGTGGTATAGTTTTTAACATTAAAGTAGACAAGTAAATTTAACAAGTGAACGTTGCTATAGCATGTAGTGTTGTGATACTTTAGCTGTGAAGTAATTTGGTTGTTTTTCCTTTTAAGGTTACTTTTGTTACTTTTAACTAAGATTTGAGATTAATTTGATTTTTAAGTATAAAATTTATTTTAATTACGATTTCCTAGTCTCGAGGGCTTGTAAGAAGTTTTTTGGAGTTTGTTGATGTTGAATTGATAATTTCAAGCAAGACTGTGATTGGTGTTTCTTTTATAATAGAGATTTCCTGCTTTCTTTGTACTTAAAACTACACAGAAAACCTTGGAAACAACCCCGTAAGCCCTTGTTCTCTGTCCAAAACCATATTCAATCAATTCTCAACTAAATCTAGGTAGCTTGGGTGTACCCGAATTTCAGTATGCAGTTTACATTTTTTTTTTTTTTTTTTCCCTGAATGGATATGCAGTTTACATAAACCTGAGACAACTGCTGCTTTTGACCTAAGCTTTTTGGAAACACTGTTTGGCATAGTGTGTCTACAAATGCCAAACTGTTAAGAAGGACCCAATCTTGAGTGGAATAAAATACTGCAACTTCTGTCTTTTTCAATAAAATCATCATGCAGTAATAAACAAAGCCCAAAGTGATACCTGCTCTCCTTTAACTTCGATGTGTTCTTGTAGTTCCCTGCACAAAACTTCATGTGAGTTGAAAGTGTAGGTAGACCAGTATGTCCCTGATTATCTAGACGCAGCATGCATAAAATGTTGCTTTTCAGTATATGACTTAATGTTCACTTTTTGCAGGAAGGGACGTCAAACTATTTCAAAGGTTTGATGCTTATTCTGTGCTATCTCATTGTTGCTGCCAGTTTCTTTGTACATGTTGACCATTCAGATGGTGAGTCTCAACAAACTTAGTTTTGACACATCGAAAAATATGGAACTTTTATTTACAACTATACTGTTTACATTTTGTGTAATTGCTTTTCTACTTAAAAGTCATTTGGGGGAAAAAGACAATTATTGGATTCACAAACTATTTCATTCGGATGAGGAATGCCATCATCACATGTCTTTTAAAGGGTCAACAATAGTACCAAAGAGCTAGGAAAACAAAATTTGTTTATCCAACCTCCATGGATTGACTATGAGATTTCTGTGACAACCTTGAATTACTTAATCTGAAGCTATGAGATTTTAAGGTTAAAGAAGAAAAGACATTCACTGCCGTGAGAGATGAGGCAATTTCATGTACATTAGAAACTTATCCCCATGGAAGGATAATTGAACCACTTCTGACCAGAGTCGAATAACTTTTAAATAGAGTGTATTATTTTCTGACACAAAGTTTTGTCCATTTCTTTGGTGAACTAAATATTTGAACACCTAATCAAAAACATTACAAATCTTGAAAGAGAACTTGTAAGCTTCGTTGACACCCTAGTCCACCCCTTTTTCTCCATTTCCAGCGAAACACATGAAATCATTTCTTATGGCTTTAAGAAAACTGGGAAAAAAACAACACAATCTTCAGCTTAGATTTTGAATTTAAAAACAACAGAATTGAAGTAAAATATAAAAACAGAACTCTGTTCAGCCCTAAACTTTGCAACCATAATAATTCATCATATGTGCATATAAAAAATCTTTATTCAATAACAGTTGTGAAGAGGACCAAACAACCAATATGGGCCATGTACTATTCATTTCCTATTGGATTGGAAGTTGGAACAGACCATTTCCTATTGGAGTAGCAGTGTTCTCTTTCTGCATTATCTATGCTTGTATTTTGGGTTAAATTCTACTGTGTGTTTGTGCACACATTGTAAGAGTGGATTTAAAACCAACCTCTGCAGGTAGTCTATCTAAAATTAGGCAAATGACTCTCTCCATCATGACAAAGTTAAACATGAAAAAAGGCAAAGTCAGCATATATTCTCTCACACTTCTATAGAGATTTTGTATCCATTGTGGATCTGTGATAGAAACATTTCATCTTTTTCTTTCCGTGGAAAGACATAAAGTAGAACAAACAAAATGCTAGCTAGCAGCGACAAATATTGTTATACTGACATAATAAAATCAACCCAGATTGACCTGGTGATTGTGATTCTGTGAACCGAATATAAAAAACGGACTATTACGTGTATTTTGAATTTGCAAATCATTCAAGAGTCTAAAATAATTAGCACGTGTACTGCATAAATTTAACCACAACAACATTTAATTTACTGCAATGTTTTAACATAGAATACAAATAATAATATCATTTCATCTTTATCACACACTTTAAAAAATATAATTTTTTATTTGGCTCTGCAATTCACTTTTGTGAAAGCATGTTTATTAACTTTTCCTTCTAATTAAAAAAGTTGAGGAAGAAGTGAATGACTATCACTATACAAATTGATACCAAATAATTTTATTAATTAATAAATCTAATGCATTGTCATCCATTATTTTAAAATTGTATTTATCAACCTATTGATTTTAGGGGAAAACAAACCTATTGATTTTATTTTACTTCATAATCTCGGATCAAGTTTTTATGATGCACAACTTCTTAGGCTGAAAAGTAATTCTATTAAATTTCTGAGGATTCCATTCTAGCTTAATATATGCTATTATATCTGGTGTATATTTATCAATTTATGTACGTAGTATATTGTTTTTATTTTTGTAGACCAATTTTCGAATCGAGTTCCAAAGATATATTGAGGTGAGGTAGTGTTGGATCTTTTAGTAAGGGCCGGCCTGTTCGAAATTTGGTAAAAGCCCAAACCCAACTCGGGTCAAGCCGACCATAACTGATCAATATAGTGAATATATTTGGATACTCCAAACCATCCAAATTATGGTGGGACAGTTGAAAACAAAATTGCGGTGTCCAAAAATTCATAATGTTGGCCCATGAAAAGGACTCGGCAGTATACATAGTAATAAGTCCATGATAAAACAACCAATCATTATCTGGATTTCAATTTGATAAGGTTATTCCAAATTCATCAGCTCAATTTCAATAAATTGTCGGATATTTGCAAAGCAATGAAACAAAACCCATGTCGGCAACCACGTGGTGAATGCATCTTAAAAGGGTCTTGACCCATCCCAAACAGGATTGCGAAATGAGGATTTAAACGTTAGTTTGATTGATGAAGAGTGTAAAAAAATCCGGGGAAAAAAATAAAAATAAAGGAGTATGTAAAATATTATTGTTTTAAATTGATCCAGGACTCATCTTTAAAAAAAAAATTAAATGGAAGGGAGAGAAGATGGATGTGACATTTAGGGAAGCGATTGTGTGGTATTTTTTATTTTTTTATTATTATTAATTTTTTTTTGGATCGAATAGAAGAGAAAAGAATAAATTTATGATTTACTATATTCGTATAGAGTTTTAATTATTTTTACCATTATATTGAATAATATTTATAATATAATAATTTATAGAGGATATTTATAGAATTTAAAACTTATGTAACTTAGAATATTGTTTAATTTAATTATATTTATTTTATTTTTTATATCATTGTAAAGGCATAGAGCAAAACAAAAAAAAAAATTGAAAAATAAGTTCCAAATTTGTTGAGAACATAGTCAAAGCTCAAGAACGAAAATCACCAAAGGAGAAAAGTAACAATAAGAGTGACCTAAAGGCCTGGCTATCACAACTTTAAAAGTTACATTCACAAGACGCCTCCAACAGAGAAAAAACCACCCAAACCTGCACAAAATCAAATCAAGTGGAAAAGATCGGACCAAGTCAAAAACAACAAAAAATGACATACACCATATATCTAGCCAAAGAAAAAAATAGTAAATCCACCCATTTTAGCCGGAAAACAGATCAGGGAGAAAATTTGAGGGGAAGGAGTGTGTTGCATAGATAAAGAGTAAAGAGAAAATTATTGAAACGCATATTAAAATTGAGAGGAAGAAGGGATGTTGAGTTTGGAAGGAAAAAAGAAAGATATGTGGATAAAAAATAAAAAAAAAAGGAACGAATTTTCTTGTTATGTATGAAAATAAAGAAGAATATGAATACATCATCCTTCCTTTACAAAGTTCAGTTTTATATATAATAATATTTAATTGGATGCTACATATTTTTAGGAATGATATTGCTTAAAACTACAAAACACCAAACCTTTCTTTAAGAATGCAATATATTTTTGTTTATTGGTGTATTTTAACACTCTTTAGAAATGGTACTGCTTAAAAATACAAAAATCTTAAACCTTTCTTTAAGGATGCAATCTATTTTTAGCATATTTAATTATTATTTCTTTACTAATGATTCATTTGACTTGTATTATATTTTTTAAATTTTATATTATATTCTCAGCTATATATTGTATGAATTTTAATTTATTCAACCCTTAACTATATTATTATTAATTTAACAAAAAATGTTACTACTATATTTTTTTTTAATAAAAAACAATAATTAGATTTTATAAATAGATCATTATTTGTGTTTGATGATCTTAAAAATTAATAAAATATATAAAAATATATAAAAAAATTATTTTTTATTGATTTGTGTGGAAAAAGGTAGCAGATATATGTATCTTTCCTTTCTTTTTGGAATACAAACGAGCTAGAGATTATTATTATTATTTTATAATCAATTCTTTGTATATTTGGTTGATATTTATTGCCACCAGGCCCACCACACATGACACATGTACATAAATTTAGTATTATAATTTAAATATTTACTTAGACGGGCAAATCGCAGGCCACGCTGCTCCCACACTCAAATACTTCTCGTGTCTTAAGCTTCCATAAAATGTAAGAAATACATCAACCCCAAATCTAGGTACGGATCAACTCGAATATTCAAAATATATATTTTTGTCAAGTAAGAAGCGCAGCTTCCCGGAACCTTCTTCGTCTTGCTCATGCCGCCCACTTTGAATCCTTTCTTTCTCTCTCTCTCCGTCTTCTTCTTCTTCAACGGAAGAGGCTAACCCTAACCTGTAGGTCTGTAACCCCTCGTTATTAACGAGAAGGAGGACTCAGTCACCCCTCAAGAGGTGGTCGGACTGCTGCTTATCTTTGTGTCTCCGTTTTTATCTATTCAACTAACCTCTCTCGCTCTATATCTATATGCACACATATTTGTATAGATCTTGTAGATTTGTTACTCAAATTCAATCATATAGTCCTCTTTTGGTTTCTATACTTCTGCTTTAACCAAATCGGTGAAATCATTTCCATGTGGAACCTTTTCAGATCAAATCAATTAGTCACACAGGTAAGTTACACAATTCGCTATAATTCATATATAATTTGCCTAGTTCATTGATCTATTTTACAATAAGATTTTCTTGGTCTCTTGGATGTGTAACCTGCAAGTTCTATGCTAAACTCGTATACTATAGGTTGCTCGAGTTATCTCCCTGTTTGAGTTTGTTGTGGTCTGATCTGATGCTTACTGAGTTAACCCAGTTAGGTGTTGTGGGATGGCTAGCATGTATACCAGTTTTTCGGTGACAATATGGTAACCAATATTTAAGCTTGAAGCTATTGGAATTTGAATGTATACCACAAAATGTAGCAACTCATATTATTTATAAAGGACGATTTTGGTGAAATGGAACTTGGATGCCAGTGTCATTGTGCTCAGTTATGTTGTGTGTGGTGCACAAATGCATTATTTATAAAGGACTATTTTGGTGGAACGGAATTTGGATGCCAGTGTCATCGTGCTCAGTTATGTTGTTTGTCATCGACAAATGCATGAAATAAATAAAGAATCAAGCAAAAACAATCAAACAATCAAACACACACACACACACATGCACGCATAACATATGATTTACGTGGTTTGATGGCATGCCTAATTGCACATGTTCATGGAGAAGAGGGAGATCAACAATCAACTACTCAAACATATTAAGGTGTTACAGAACCAGTAATGCACTCTACCCACAGCTCTTTGCCCTATTAAAAACTGTCTCAACTCTCTTAGGCTCTCTTTAATTTTTCTTTCACCATCAGAAGCTGTTTATAACAAATATAAGTAGATTTGGGATAGAAAGCAACATCTTGCACCGACTTTGAAGGAATTCATCAGTTAATATGGAGTATAAAAGGACAGTGCTTGATTGGTCGATCCCTCCTTTGATTGGTTGAGTACTTATCAGTGCTGCCATGATCTTTGGTTATTTGCTTTGACCTGTCCATGACTTTCTGGATGATCCTTGATCAATCGGGGATTATGCTGATTGAAAAGTTTCCGACGGAAAACATCTCTGCACTCGAGAAGATCCTTTTAGGGCATTTAATTGCTCAAAAACCAAATATAATACATTTCAGAATTGTCTTCACATTGTCTTTCTCAGTCTCTTTGTTATGGAAACATGATGACTTTTCACACTCACCACCAAGGCAGAAGAGATCATATTTTCAAAACCATACTCTTCCGAGTCCTTTGCGACCATTTTCTCAGATATATTTATATATTTTTCTTCACAATTGAATAATGTTGTTCTTGGTATTGCTTTGAGTCATTTTGAAATATATTCTGTCGTTATCTCTTGTAGGTGGTTGCTACACATTTAGCCCCACTAAATGTTTTGACCATCCCTCAATCCATCTGATGGTTCCTCGATTTGTCCTCATATCATTAGACATGCAGTCTTCATCAAAGCCTATATCATAGCTGATGGCGTTCTTCTTTGCAGCTGTATCCAAAAGCCTATACCTTTTCACCCTTTAAGTCCGAGAAGTATACACGTTTCTTGGATTTGCATAAACTTTTTTACAGTTCACTACTTTGCATGGCCCAGAACCAGTAACATTCTGGAAATAGAATGGTCAATCAAATTTCCTATCCAAACCTTTTATGGAATCTAACAATTGTTGTAGATGGAGATGCGCTTATGTTGAATCATGTTATTCTAGCTACCTTGGCCCAGAAGTTCTTCAGTTTCCTTGCGTGTAGCCTTATGTCCTCTTGCTCTTTCCAACAAAGTTATGATGTAGGTTCTCGAAGTCGTCAAGTGGCGTGTGATACCTTCCTTCTTGTAGAACTCCTTGAACCCTGTTTTCCTTTATTCCACGCCTTTATCTGTATGGTACTCCAATTTCCTGTTTGTACATTGCTTAATCTTGGCCTTCCATTATTTGTTTATTGGGCTCATACCTGTGCTTCGTGAAGTAAAACCAGCCTTCCTTGAGAAATCCTCAATAAGGTGATGAATTGCTTCACCTTGTGGAGATATTGGAGTTGGTCCCCAAACACAAAAATTGTACTTTGATGGTGTGAGACTGTGTCTTGAATCTATCCCTTCAACGCTTCCTATACACGCAGTGCTTTCAGTAATCTAGTATACATAATTTGGCACATTTTAACAATCTTCACATGTGAAGTTCCAACATGTCTTCTCTCATATATCCAAGATTCATATGCCACAGAACCATATCATATGTTCCAGATTCTATTGGGAATCATACAGTTGCACCACGTGTAATTGTATTCCCAACCAGCTTGTACATATTCATTCACTCGTACATATTCGTTCGCTTGTACATATTCATTCCATATTTTTTGGCCTTTCATGATAATCAAGGCCCTTTGTCAATCTTCATAGTTCCACTTATTGTTGATTAGCTTCGCTCAAGAGAGTCCATTGGTTCTATCGAAATCATGTTCTTCCTCAAATCAGGGACGTGTGAAATTATCATAAAAAATCCCGATCTTCACTGTACTAATTCAAATGACGTCGCATGTCGCACCATTACCCATTAGAACAATATCTCTGTTGCATGATTCATATTTATCAAATACATTTTATTTGAACACATGTAAAACACTTTTTATTTGAACACGTGACAAGTGCGACCAGTATCTAACCAACTTATACTTGGGGAGACCATAAGAAGATCTTCTTCACTCTCGCAGATCTTGTCAACCACATTTGCAAGTCTCTGCAATTGTTGGTCCTCTTCATCTCTCCCAGTTTTCTTTTTAGTGTTCGCCAATCCTTTCTCATATGGCTTTTTATTTTTATTTTTTGTATCATAGTATGATAATAACAATACTTCTTGATCTTTGCTTGAGATTTTGATCGAGAATGTCAAAATTCTTTCCTCTGCCTTACTCCTTCCAGAGCTTAATTCATTTTTTTCCGCAAGTCTATTTGCTTGGTACTCCTCATTTACTGGCGTCTTCCTCTTTTCACTTGTTAGAAGAGCTGTAGTAGCTTTTGCCAACCCAAAGGAAACCTTCCTAAGAAGCAGAGTGTTATAAACCCATCCTAAATAGAGGAACTCAGTATTATTTCTCGTACTGCTATTATCTGTCTTCAGTTCCGTAGGTAGTATTTTGTATAGCGATGAGCAAACACTTATGTGGTTCATATTTATATCTTAGGTCTTCAGTAGATTCTTTTGAGTGGCTCATGGTCTGAATAAAAGTTGTTTACCCCCCAAAAAAAAAATTAAAAAAAAAAAATAATAATATATTTCGGTAACTGTTTTAAATTTTGTTTTTGATTCCTTTGTAGAGTGAGTGCCATTCTTTTAGGATCGTTAAAATTATTTGCGGTAGCAATAATTTGAATTCAATTGATTGTTACTTTGACGTCCTAATTATCATCTCTGGTTGTAATGATACTCTTTGGTTTTATGATGAAGTACTCAACTGATTCAGTGATTTGATGTTAATAAATTTATCCTGTTAGAGTATCTATTATCCATGGTTGAGGTCCTCATTATTTTTGAATGTAGGCTCTTGATGTGATGCGAGGGATTATAATTTAGAAAGTGCCAATAACTTCTATGTAGAACTTGGGTGCTTTATACTACTACTATGGCTGATCAGTGAGATTACCTGTACATGCAGATGGGACCTACAGAGGTGAATAGAGACCTTGGTTCTGATGAGGAGATGCCTCTTAGCTCATCAAAGACCTCGAATAAAATGCATCCCTTTGATTTTGAGACATCTCATATTGGGTTGCATGCAAATATGTCCAACTCGTGGCTCTTTAAGAAGATGAGGGACAACAGATCTCTCAGGAGTATATACATTGTCTTAATTAAAGCAAAGATTAATATGTTGCTACCTTTTGGGCCGTTGGCGATATTGCTGCACTATATTACCGGAAAACATGTAAGACGCTTCCTCTCCCAGTCACCATTTCTCCATTTACATTAAATTACGATAAGGATGTTTGGAGAATGGAAAGAGTACAGGGGACGGTTTCATTGACTTAATTTTGCATTCCATTGAATTTTCTTTGAACCTATATTAATGACCTCCTGAAATAATGTATGATTATGTGGCAATTGGTTTGATGTTCAAACATCGTATCACGTAACTTTCATGCCTCATTATGATGCCTCTATTCTTGGATTTTAATTATTTGAATGCTACTTCTCACATCGTAGGGATGGGTCTTCTTCTTCAGCTTAGTGGGCATTACACCTTTAGCAGAGCGGCTGGGTTATGCAACTGAGTAAGTATTGGCATTTCAAATTAAAATGTGGCATTCCATTGGTGTTTTTTAGTCTCCATTTCTTTAGAACATACTAATACACTTGCTCACCTGCCACTCTGCTGCAGGCAGCTTGCATTTTATACAGGACCTACAGGTATATTTACTCTTTATTTTTTTAGTGAGAAACAGATGTTTGAAACTATAGGTCAAAACCATGCCTTTTATTGCATATTATTAGCATTTAATTACCTTGGAAATGAAATAAAAGATCAGTTCAAGTATGCTTAGAACTGTACATGCTAAATGCATAAAGAGCAGAGGTATTACTAAAAATTGAAATCTCTTGAATATCATGTGGGTGTAGGAAATATATGACATTGTCAACCGATAAAATGACATTCTCAAGTGTCCAACACTCTTTTTCTTCTCTCTTTAATTCATAACAAATAATATAGATGTATATATATAAATAGAGTACTAATATGTTATATAGAATAACAGTTTAACACTTTTTTTCACTGGATTTGATTTTTAGAATTAAGATTAAAAAGGTTCATTGGAATTTGAAGGGACAACTAATCATTTATTTTTTCAAACCACCTTTAATAACCTTAGAAAACAATTAAATAGTACCATAAATGGGAAGTTTTAGAAAAATTGAGGGGGTCCTATACAAAATCACCATTAATAACAATAAATTAGTACCATTAATAGCGTTTTTAGAAATTTTTGGGGGGGCCATGGTCCCCCTAGCCACCCCTCCGACCTTGGGTGGATTGCACTCGGGCCAAACATTTGCCATTATTTTACACAAATTAGCTACTTTTGGACTCAAATCCATAATTTTTCATGCTTGGCAGCCATGGTTTTTTTATCCTACCTAATAATTAATTGGACAGGTATAGTGTTCATTGTGTTGCTATTTGTTGGTTCGTCAAAGTTTTTTATTTTTTATTAACAAGTATCATTCATTCATAAATTATCAATGATTTGATAGTCAACTTTACATTTCAAGTATTTCAGTTAATGGAGGCGGAAAGATATTAATCATCGTTAGAAGAGCCCTTAACGTCGAATTAATTGGTTACATTTTTATAATCTATTTTGACCATGTCACTCAAGGGCTAGGTTGTCTGTAGTTTTTTTTTTATTTTTTTTTATAAATGGTCTTATTTGACTTTATTATATCTATATATGTTGTACATATAAACACACACACACACACATACAAGCTCATGCATAGACACTACCCTATATATATATGCATATATTTAGTGTGGGTTTTGTCTGTGCATGCCTGCTTGTGATGGACACACATCCGGTTAGATTGATAAATGAAACTTAGATTGCCGTGGAGAAAATATTCTTCTCATATTTCTATTCACCTGGACCTGTTTATCTGTATCAAGAAGACAGTTGAGACAGTTTTCTGGTTGTTTCTGCAGTTGGGGGCCTTCTAAATGCTACATTTGGAAATGCAACGGAAATGATAATTTCAATATATGCATTGAAGAATGGAATGATTAGGGTCGTTCAACAATCATTACTGGGCTCCATCTTGTCTAATATGCTATTAGTGCTTGGATGTGCTTTCTTTACTGGTGGGATCATTCATAGGCAGAAAGTTCAGGAATTCAATAAGGTATATTATCATAATCTGATCAAAACATCTTTCCTTGAAATACTATGTGGAGTGAGTTAATTTACATTCTCAACATATTGAGCAATAGAGTCAACATTGAGTTGGTTCTGCAAATGGCTGCATACAAATTTAGCTGTTCATGAACAGCTTAGACTCAATTCACTTATTGGCTTGCTCAGGCTTGTTCATTTGGCAAACAAGTTGTACATGATCCCTTCTCTCAAGCTCGTTAATGGGCAGAGCCTGAACAGTCTCAAGTTCAGCTCGCGTGGGCTCCTGAACGGGTGAGACTGTGGAGTTCAATAGCTTAGTTTTTTTTTTTTTTTTTTAATTTGACTTTGATATATATATATATATATATTTTGGATTACATTTTTCTTTTCATTCCAGTTTTATATTATTGATAGGCAGAACATTGAACAAATAAATTATGTCAAAATATTAGTTGCCTGCAACCACATAATAGGGTCCTCGGCTTATGAATTTGCAGGCTGACACTATAGCATTATGATTAGCCTTTCATCTTAACCACATAACTTTTTGACTTGTAACCTCTACTTTCATAATAAACCAACCAAGACACAAGTGGCCGGCAAATATCACCTAAAGAGCAATCTTACCTGTACGCAAGGCCAAGCTTGAATGGCCTTCAAGTTTGGCAAGTAGCTGCCATGTTGAGCGCGATAGAGTTTCTATTGTCTGTCTTGAGGTCAAGTTGAGTCTAATTGTTTTGGAGCCCTACTTAGGCATCAACATCTCCCCTCCCCTTTGTCCCCAAAAACGAAAAAAGAAAATGAAAAACTAATTCTGTTGACATGTTTCAAGACAGGCGGCTGCCGTCGTGAACTCAGGATTGTTGTTGATGGCTGTTATGGGTATATTATTTCCAGCTGTACTTCACTTCACACACACTGAAGTGCATGATGGGACATCAGAGGTATCTCTTTCAAGATTTAGCAGCTGTATAATGCTGGTGGCATATGCAAGCTACCTATTCTTTCAGCTTAAGAGTCAAAAACAACTTTATAATACTATCGACGAGGTGAGGCTCTTTGCTTTTTTCTGGGATGGAATGTTGTTTTCGCATTAGGTCTTTTTGCCTGATGTGCATGCACCTTATTGTCCTGATGATTAACCACTGGCATCCGTTGCAGCAAACAGACAATAATGTCGAAAATTCTGAGGAAGAAGAAGCTCCTGAGATTTCTCAGTGGGAAGCAATTGGGTGGCTTGCAGTTTTGACCATCTGGGTGTCTGTACTATCTGGATACCTCGTTGATGCTATACAGGTAAGATATCTCTCTCTCTCTCTCTCTCTCTCTGTCTCTCTCTGTCTCTGTCTGTTTGTCTGTCTGTCTATTGGTTTGACATGGTTTCGGGAAACAAGTAGTTTGGACTGTTTACAGTAATACAGTTACTTAAATAAGATTTGAACTTATTCTAAGCAATCTATTCTAAATGATGGCTAATGTTCTTGGTAATCAATGGCTCATTCTGGATAATGAATGTGTACCTTCAATGGCCATATAATTTGGATTGGAGCTGTTCTTATGAAATTTCTATGCTTCAGACAATGTTTAAACATAGTTCCGTGCACTTTTTTTTATTTTTTATAACTCAGCATTAATATTTTTGCATTTGGTAAAAAGTTTTACGAATAAATTCACTGAATTTATGTTACGTAATGCACAACCAATTTCTATAAGTTCTGTTTTATATTGTTAAAGAATGTACATTTGGTGAATGGATGTCTGCAACAATCTTAAATTTGTTTTGGTTACTTGAAGAAATTCAGGTATTTTTTTTTTTTTTTTTCCCTTCTCTTTTTCCTCTTAAGACTTTGGCATTGTTTTTAGATTACAAATTTCAGTGTGTTGATATTCTATTATATTACATTGAAAAAGAAACCTCATGTTTGAGAAACAAGCTTGGGAAACAGTTTGCAAATATACGCCCATGCATTTGGTGTCGGGATTAGATTATAACTAACAAAGTGGACGGTATATACATAGGGTGGGACGGGTCGTGATAATTGGATCAATCAAACTTGGGTTTGAGCAATCAAACCTAATCTAGTGAGGGTCCATTGATGTTTCGATCAATTGAACTCCCTCTAATTCTGTTTTTTAGGAATTTTGATTTAAAGCAACTTTGATTCATTTGAAACTCCTTTTTAGGATCAAAACATATTTGTCAAAAACCCTGATAATCAATAATGCTAAGAATGTATTAGTATGATCCCTAATTTGGTGAGTGCAGAATTGAGAGTTGAATTTACTTTGGATTGGGTAACCCAACTAACTAACTTTTGAAAAATATGAATAAACTGAAATCGAAAATTACACTCATTTTTTCACGAAATTTGTGAACCTAAGTCTTATTGACCTAACAAATACTTGAAAAAAGATGTCTGAAATTTAAAATTTGCCATTGTCAAGGAAACCTGAAAGTGGCCACATATGAAGAAATATGAAGTTTCCAATTTTCCTATATGTTTACAATAAAGATGATTGCCTTCTACATTAAAGTGGAGTGCAAATTGTGAATGTGGGCATCCAAATAGGCTAAAAAAGTGAATGTTTTAGAAAATATTATTTTTGCCTAGGCTTGTTTTAGGGCCATCCTTTGGCTAGCTTGAGCTCTGTGCTAAGTTATTTTAGCTTTCAGATATAGGCCTCATACTGGCCTCACTGGCAAGTTTGCCTGAATTTCATGGTTTGCCAATTGGCAAGTTTGCCTGAATTTCAAAGTTCACCAACTGGCTTCAGACCATGTTGGAGCATAGGCTTCATGTGCACACCTCCATTACTACATGAAGCGCCAAATTTGAGAGCAAGGATTCTCTGTATTTTCAAGTTCAGAAACATTTTCGAAAATTTTAATTGTTATGCTCTTTTATGTTGATATGCTTTAGAAGTAATATGATTTGTGGTTTTATACGAACAATTGTTGGTTTGATGATGTTGCTGTATCTTTTCAGGGAGCATCTGACTCATGGAACATGCCTGTGGCTTTTATAAGTGTCATCATTCTTCCAATTGTAGGGAATGCTGCAGAACATGCAAGTGCAATCATGTTTGCCATGAAGGACAAGCTTGTGAGTGCTTGAAAATCAGAACTGCTATTTCTTGCTTGTGTAATTGTGTTGAGTCAGTTAATTACCTGTCTTCTTCTATAGGACATCACAATAGGAGTTGCGATAGGATCATCTACACAGATATCAATGTTTGTGGTAAGACTTGGAGATTCAATTCAATCCTTGATGCTAATTTTTGATGTTTGAAAAGGTCATGTTGCCACATTTTCTTTGTTTCCCCAATTCTCTCTAGTTCTATGTTTAATTTAGTTTTTTGCGGGCAGGTATACTAGAATCCATCACTTCTGTTATAGTTAGATAGCAACATTTCTGCATTTGGCTTAAGGTTAGCGGGTTAAGAATTTTGTGGTGTTGATAAATGCAGATTCCCTTCTGTGTGGTGGTTGGTTGGATTATGGGAGAACGAATGGATTTGAACTTTCGGCTCTTTGAGACAGCTACACTCTTTATCACAGTGTTAGTGGTGGCATTTATGCTGCAGGTTTGTTATCTATTTAATTAAATACATACTTGAATATGTATCCTGTTGCTTATATCTAGCTCTTATAAAACTAATCATATGCGTACCACCAAGTGCATATTTCAGAGCTGTTTTCGTTTTCTATTTTTAATTTGTTACAGACTATAAAAGAAGAACAGTATCACAAGAGGCTTAAACTATTTAAGGGAAGACAAAACTTACGTTGGTTGATATTGTAAATAAAGATAGGGTTGCATTATTGGGTAGAGCAGATTGGTGAACATGATTTATGTAGCTATTATTAAATAGTTGGGACAAGACTTTCTAGAGTTGAGTTGAAAATTGAAACAGTGTTTGGTTACTGAGGTAAAAAGAGTAAACTATATAGTCTGTATATACACATAATGAAATGGCATTCCTGATGCCGTATTTATAAATTTGCTGGACTATATAGTCTGTATATACACAGATTGGTGAACATGATTTATGTAGCTATTATTAAATAGTTGGGACAAGACTTTCTAGAGTTGAGTTGAAAATTGAAACAGTGTTTGGTTACTGAGGTAAAAAGAGTAAACTATATAGTCTGTATATACACATAATGAAATGGCATTCCTGATGCCGTATTTATAAATTTGCTGGACTATATAGTCTGTATATACACAGATTGGTGAACATGATTTATGTAGCTATTATTAAATAGTTGGGACTAGACTTTCTAGAGTTGAGTTGAAAATTGAAACAGTGTTTGGTTACTGAGATAAAAAGAGTAAACTATATAGTCTGTATATACACATAATGAAATGGCATTCCTGATGCCGTATTTATAAATTTGCAAATTTGCTGGACGAATATGACAGGCTTAGAAATCTATACTATACCGCATGGCTGCAGGTGGAACATTAAGAAGCCTTCTTGGTTCAACATGATGTATTTTAAGTTGTTCTGGTTGATACATTATTCAAAGTTCAAGCCATATTTACTGAGCTTCATTCGTGGTATAGTTTTTAACATTAAAGTAGACAAGTTAACGTTGCTATAGCATGTAGTGTTGTGATATTTAGCTGTGAAGTAATTTGGTTATCTTTCATTTTAAGGTTACGTTTGTTACTTTTAACTAAGATTTGAGATTAATTTGATATTTAAGTTTAAAATTTATTTTAATTACGATTTCGTAGTCTAAAGGGCTTGTAATAAGTTTTTTGGAGTTGTTGATATGGAATTGATAATTTCAAGCAAGACTGTGATTGCTGTTTCTTTTGTCTTCTTCTCTTTTCTCTCTTCTACCTGTTCTTATTTTTTTCTTTTATCTATTCTTCAAATTCCTTTATAATAGAGATTTCCTGCTTTCTTTGTACTTAAAACTACACGGTAAACCATGGAAACAACCCCACAAACCCTTATTCTCTGTCTAAAACCATTTCAATCAATTCTCAACTAAACCTAGGTAGCTTGGGTGTACCCGAATTTCAGTATGCAGTTTACATTAACCTGAGACAACTGTGCTGCTTTTGACCTAAGCTTTTTGGGAACACTGTTTGCCATAGTGTGTCTACAAATGCCAAACTGTTAAGAGGGACCCAATCTTGAGTGGAATAACATACTGCAACTTCTGTCTTTTTCAATAAAGTTATCATGCAGTAATAAACAAAGCCCAAAGTGATACCTGCTCTTCTTTAACTTCGACGTGTTCTCGTAGTTCCCTGCACAAAACTTCATGTCAGTTGAAACTGTAGGTAGACCAGTATGTCCCTGGTTCTCTAGACGCAGCATGCATAAAATGTTGCTTTTCAGTATATGACTTAATGTTCACTTTTTCGATTCCTGCAGGAAGGGACATCAAACTATTTCAAAGGTTTGATGCTTATTCTATGCTATCTCATTGTTGCTGCCAGTTTCTTTGTACATGTTGACCTTGTAGAAGGTGAGTCTCAACAAACTTAGTTTTGACGCATCGAAAAATATGGAACTTGTATTTACAACTATACTATTTACATTTTGTATAATTGCTTTTCTACTAAAAAGTCATGATTGGTTAAATTGTTACCTTTCTGCCATCTCATTTATGTCTTGTTGGTAAAGTAATTTGGGGGAAAAAGACAAGGATTGGATTCACAAACTATTACGTACTAGCACCACGAAAGCAAGGAGAACCAATTCAGATTAGGAATGCCTTCATCTCGTCTTGTAAAGGGTCAACAATAGTACCAAAGAGCTAAGAAAACAATTTGTTTATCCAACCTCCATGGATTGACTAGAGGAAGTTGATGTTGTGAAAGTTGGCACCAGTTTTCTCTGACAACCTTGAATTACTTAATCTGAAGCTATGAGATTTTAAAGAAGAAAAGACATTCACTGCCATGAGAGATGAGGCAATTTCATGTGCATTAGAAACTTATCCCTATGGAAGTATAATTGAACCAGTTCTGACCAGAGTCGAATAACTTTTAAATAGAGTGTATTATTCTGTGACACAAAGTTTTGTCGATTTCGTTGGTGAACTAAATATTTGAACACCTAATCAAAACATTACAAATCTTGAAAGAGAACTTGTAAGCTTCATTGACACCCTAGTCCACCCCTCCTCCATTTGCAGCGAAACACATGAAATCATTTCTTATGGCTTAAAGAAAATCTTATTACTTGGAAAAAAAATCATCTTGAATATATTAGATTTTGAATTTAAAAACAACACAATCTTCAGCTTAGCAATTAATGTTCATTGCTACGGTATAGGGTCTGATGCAGATCACAACTGAATCCTGCGGGATGGAGATGGTATTGCAACACCCAGAAATATTTCCAGTTCCTGCACTGGAGACATGCGGCACTCGGTATATCTGAAGCTGTTTAAATATTCATTTGTGTTGTATGTTGCTTCTTAGATCACATAATGAGCAATTTCTTTGTTCTCCCAGCATTGTAAGTTGTCCAGACTTTTTTGATCTCTGGCTAAATGGAATCTTTCAATTTACAAATCAAGGAGAACTTGGATGTTTGTAATCTTTATTATTCTCATTCTTTTATGATAGTCTCCCCCATAAATTACTCCATACAATTGTTGTTTTGTAGCCTTGTTCACAATGTTCGATTTTGTGCAATTTGATCAACTTGTGTTCTTGCCTATGTTTCGACCTTTGAGAAGGAATTTTGGAGTCTACACATAAAAAAAACAAGCTGATTACAATCCCACTATATTTATTGTATTTGGCTCCAACTTTTTAATATACTCGAGGATGGAGTGACTTTTTCCAAGCGATCAAGCATGTCCAAATAGCGAGACCCAATCGCTTACCAACTTGTTATTTAAAAAAAGAGAATTCTTAGATCAGGTTCACCAAAGCTACAAAGTAGATCACTGTATAGTGTATTTCTTTAACTAAATACTAAAATCATGCAACTTGAAGACTCAAATGTGGCTATAATATTTATAGTGATAAAGCTATCTCAAGCACTGTATTATTTTTATACAGGGATACATCTTGGCAAAGGGAAATCATCATTGACTTTGAATGGTTCTACTACTCTCTCGCATGGTGGCCATGTTCCTTCTCCAGTTGAGACTAGGAAGGTGTGGCGCCACTTTCATTCAGCTAATAATCTCTCCTGGTAATGACTACTAATAATCATTAGTGGTTAATGATTTTTAATTGTTGAGTGAGTTATCCATGAACAAATTAGATAATGGTTATGCTCATCAGAACATGCTTTTTACCGTTGCACCAACTGAATGTGAAAAATGAAAAAGAATAGAATAAAAATCTATTACTTTAAAGTTCAGCAATGTCTTCACTCTTTAATATGGAATGTCTGAACATACCTGTGAATTTTTGCAAGCTCCTGTTTTGCTTTAAATTTTGTGGAATAAAATACAAAAAGTCGTTTTCTGGTGGACGAAGACTAAAGAATGTATTTAATGGGTGAGCTTGCAAAAATTAATGTTTTTGCATGTTTCTTTGGCAAAAAAAGACTAGAAAACAAACATTTTTTGTTATAGAATATTACATGTAAATCTGTTGACTATTAGGATATAGAATAATAAAATGCAAGTCAAGCCAATTAAAATAATCTTCCGAAGTGGTTATTATGATCAAAAGATCTTAAAAGGACCTGCAGCCAATCTGGCCTAAAAGATCATAACTTCAAGAACAGTCATGCTCTTGTGGCTCTTCCATTCTTCTTCACCTCACCACAACAGCCACCACATGCCCTCTGCCTTTGGCTGCTTCTGTTTGGATGTCTTCTTAACAATTGTGATCCTTTCTTCTTTTTCCAATCCCTGCCATGGCTCCTGCAATCAGCTCGATCGCGATTCTCTCTTATCATTCTCTCTCAACATTTCTCCTCCCTTGAATTGGTCTTCTGTGATTGACTGCTGTGTCTGGGATGGTGTTTCTTGTGATGGTAATGATCAGGTGATCTGTTTAACGCTGCCCTTTAAAGGCCTCCACGGACTGATCTCTCCTTCTATTGCAAACATCAGTCATCTCTCTCAACTCAATCTCTCACACAATTGGCTCTCAGGTTCTCTCCCTGCTGGCTTCTTCACATCCTTGAATCAACTTGACACCATTGACTTGAGCTATAACCGGCTTTCTGGACCGTTGCCATCATCTGATAGCTTGCCTATTGCCACACACACACTCGATTTATCCAGCAACCACTTTAATGGGACAATCCAGTCTTCATTTCTCCAGCCTGCATCCAATTTGCTGAGTTTCAATATCAGCAATAACAGCTTCACTGGCACAATACCTTCCTCTATCTGCAGTATTTTCCCGTCTGTCCAGCTTCTTGATTTCTCCTCCAATGATTTCAGTGGTGAATTTCCCCAAGGAATTGGAAATTGTTCCGAACTGCAGGTCTTCCGGGCAGGTTTCAACCATCTTGCAGGACTGCTTCCAGATGATATTTACAGCACTGTGCAGCTGCGAGAACTCTCATTACCTGCTAATAAGCTGTGTGGATCCATTGATGATCGCATTGTTAACCTTACTAACCTTGCAATCCTTGAACTCTTTGGCAACGAATTTACTGGCATGATCCCTCAGGATATTGGGAAGCTCTCCAAGCTGGAACGGCTGCTCCTTCACTTTAACCATTTGAATGGCACTGTGCCTCCATCTCTGATGAATTGTGTCAATTTGACAACCTTAAATTTAAGGGTCAACTCCTTTGAAGGTGAGCTCTCCACACTTGATTTCTCCAAACTCCTCCAACTTAACACAATTGACCTTGGAAACAATAACTTCACTGGTAGCCTGCCAGGAAGCCTTTTCTTGTGCAAGTCACTATCTGCAATTCGACTGGCCGGTAACCGGCTAGAGGGACAGATTTCTCCTGACATGCTTGCATTACAATCTCTGTCTTTTCTCTCAATTTCCAATAATAGTTTAACAAATTTCACGGGAGCAATCAAGATTCTGATGGGTTGCAAGAACCTCAGCACCGTCATCCTCTCAAAGAACTTCTTTGGTGAAGCAATGCCAGATGATGAAAGCATAGTAGCTTTGGGAGGATTTCAAAATCTCCAACTTCTCAGCCTAGGTGGCTGCAGGTTCACCGGGCAAATTCCTGCTTGGCTGGCGAAGCTCAAGAAGCTAGAGGTTGTGGACCTATCTCAGAATCAATTCACAGGCTCAATTCCAAGTTGGTTGGGAACTCTTCCAAACCTCTTCTACTTAGACTTGTCCAGTAACTCCCTATGGGGAAACTTCCCCAAGGAACTTACTGAACTGCCAAGTCTAGCATCTCAAGAAGGTGGCGATCAAGTAGACCGGAGTTATCTAGAGTTGCCTGTCTTTATTCAGCCCGATAATGCTTCCGATATGCAATATAATCAGCTCTCCAACGTGCCGCCAGCAATATATCTGGGAAGCAACAACCTCAATGGCACGATACCTGGTGAAATCGGCCGGTTGAAGTTTATTCATGTGTTGGATCTCAGTAATAACAATTTCTGTGGCAATATTCCAGACCAAATATCTCACCTCACTAACTTGGAAAAGCTAGACCTCTCTGGAAACCATTTGTCTGGCGAAATCCCAGCATCACTGAATAATCTCAATTTCTTGTCTGCGTTAAGCGTGGCAAACAACAACCTTCAAGGACCGATACCATCAGGAGTCCAGTTTGATACTTTTAGCAGTTCCAGCTTTGATGGGAATCCAGGATTGTGTGGTTCAGTTCTGCATCGTCCTTGCTCTGTCCAACCAGGATCTTCACATCCTCTACATCCTCCTGCACCTGAAGGAAGCCGAGAACATAAAATCATATTTGGACTCAGCTTTGGCACCTCTTTTGGGATTAGCCTTAGTGTGACCGTGGTAACATTAGGGATGTTGTCCAGGAGGAAAATAAGTGGAAACTGTTTCTTTCAATTCTAATCAATTCTAATCCTGGCTGGAACAATGACCAAAGTTGGCAAGGATACCTGTGTTGGTAGCAGTCTAGTAATAGTTGTTTTTGTTTTTCGTTAGTCGGGTGTGTCGAATAAAATGAAGAAATAAAGTTATTAGATGTACATCAGTAATTGGAGCATTGAAACCTTTTAAGAGTGTTGAATGCTTGATACTCATTCCTATCTCCTGTAAAGAGTAGGAAGGTGAGATCTTACCAGCTTTAATGGCACTACCCCAGCAATTTCTCTGAATTTTCTGGGAAAATAAATGAGAAATGAATTAAAAACTAAATAATGTCTTCACTGGGTTAACTTGCCCAAACTAATATAAACAATACTAGTACAATGCAGATTGATTATTGTGGAAAGAAATCATTTGTGATCCTCTTATATGATTACAATTGGTTATAATACGAAAACTCTTGACTTGCCATCCAATTTGGGATGTCTTTTAACTTATCAAAATGTGTCCGCCATAAATCAAATCTGTTACAATTTTAAAACCTAAAACAATTTACTAATACATACAACAAGTCAAGCCCGTTATAATATCCTCCCGGAGTTGTTATATTCGTAAGCGGCCAACCTGGTTTATCTCTAGTCACCCTTTTTTAATTTTCACCATGCATAGCACCACATACACTTTCTCCTCGTTTGATCGTTTATTTTGGCATTTTCACGAGCAGATGGTGGAACTAACAAACAACAAAAATATGTATACTAAAGAACACAACAATTGGTGATTACACACAAATCACTTTGAGTTCGGTCTTTTTTTAATGAATTGGGACAAAATAATTTAATTGTTTTTCCTCCCTGTCAGGAAGAAACAAAACTACAAAACACGCTAAAAAATATATATATATATATATATACCTTGAATCTTTGTTCAAATATTTCCTAGTTAAAATTATTGTCAAAAAAGTCTTGATCTTTTTTGAGGTTTGTTCAAATATCTCACCCCAAAACTATTGTCAAAATAGTTTGACTTCTTTTGAAATCTGTCAAAATAAATCTTTGACACCTTTTAAGGTTTGTCCAAATTTTTATACGTTAATAGATGAAATATTTTTTAATGTCCAAATTGCCCTTAAATGAGAGAAAATGACTCAAATTACCTTGTTAGAATATCAAATGATCATTTCAACCAAATTTAATTGGACAAAACTACCTTTTTTTAAATTAAAAAAAAAAAAAAAAATCCATCATTTTGGATTGTTTTTGCCGAGTTGAAAATATTTTTTTTGTGGGCAGTCAAATACAATTTTTGAGCAAGTGATTTGTTGATGAATGAAAGGATGAATTATTTTTAACTAATGTCTATTTTGTTGAATTATATAAATTATTTGTTAAATACTATGTTTTGACATGAAGATGTTGAAATGATTATTTAATATACTAATAAGGTCATTTGAGTCATTTTATTTTTTCACTTAATGGTAGTTTAAGTATTTATAAAATATTCCATTTACAGAATTAACTATGACTAACGTCAGGAAATTTGGACAAAAGCCAAGGAGTGGCAAGGACTAATTTGATAATAAATTCAGCAGTGGGATATTTGAACAAATATCAGAAGAGGTGAGTATTTCACCCACCCAAAAACGAAAGATCCGAATTAATGGAAATTGTGACCCACGCTAGCCCAATATTCCAAACTGGATCAGAAGACTTGGACTGACAGGCCCATTTGGCAATGACCCTTTGGGGCCCACCCTAAAGACAGATCCATCCCATGGCAAGGATTTGTTTGAAGGTTTTAGAGACGGGGCTTGGTTTCTTGCTAGAATTAATGCCGACATCGGAAATGCTAGATAGTCGTCGGAGAATCTTGATGACAGTTTTTTTTGGTAGTTGGGTTTTGATACTTACTCCTAAAGTTTGTTTCTGATCATATGCTTTAAAGCAAAAATCATAAAAAAGTGGAGTGAATAAATTGGGGTAATCGGTTTGATGGGGTGGTTTGGTTTACATGTAGTTAGATATCAAAATCAAAATCTTTTTATAATTATAATGAAGAAGCGAAGCTTCCCAGCATCTTCACCGTCTTTGCTCATGCCGCCCACTGTAAGTCATCTCTTTCATCTTTTTCTCTCTCAAGCCGCCCAGAACAAATACTTTCTGTCTTGCTCAATGTCTTCATTGGATCCGGCCACACCTCCGGCACACGTATATATGCACAAGTATTTGTATAAATCTTGTGGATTTACCACTAGAATTGAATTATCTAGTTCTCAGTTGGTTTCTACACTTCTGCTTTGACCAAATCGGTGAATTTGATTCGAAATAGAAACCCTTTCAGCTCAAATCAATTAATCACGGGCAACTCAACTTAGTAGTTTCTCTTCCAAGTTTTCTGTATTTCTTTCTTTCCATTCATTTATACATAATTTATGTGCTTCATTGTTTTATCGTACTATTAGGTTCTCTGAACATGTAAATTGCAGTGTCCTATGCTATACTAGAGTTTTGTGGGTTGCTTGAGTTGGCTCACTGTTTGAATTTGTTATTGGATGTTTTATTCTATTCATATGCTTAGTGAATTAACCCAGTTAACTGTTGTGGAATTGCTTGGTTTTTGTTGCAATTTGAATGCATTCCACTGGAATGTAACATAGAGAAACGAGTGCTACTTTTCAAGTATGTTTTAGGAAATTATGTCTTTTTTTAAAGGTGATTTTAGTGTCTTTTTAAAAATTTGTGCTCAATTATTTGCTTGTGGTGCAATAAATACACGATGGCACAAAATCAATGAACAATCAGCCAAAGCACACAGAGAACCTGTGGTCTTACGTTGCTCCATAAAATACTATGATTACAGGGGACAGGGGGATCAACAATCAACTATGAAAAATAAAGTGTACCAAATGTGGGTTTTTTGTAACGAAGTTGATAATAAATGCTATTAAGGAGATATATCTCACACAACAATATAGACCTGGAGGGATGAATGGGAGGAAGGAGGAGAAGCAGACAATTCTAAGGGATTACAGGGGAAGCCAGGAAGATCCAAGTGCCATGCCAGGAATTTTAGGCTATTTAGTATGTTTGGTTAAGGACTTGGTTAATGCCAAATGGTGCGTTCTTTCTGTGGGTATTAACCGAAGTCTATGAGATTAGGTCATCACCACCTCAGTCTTCTTTTTACTGGCCATTCGACCAAATCCTCTCCTTCCATCAGTGTTTATGGCAGAGTTATTAAATGGCTCCTGCTAGTCATTAAATAGCGATGGCCATACATTAAATGTTGGGGGCTGGTCATTTAATGTGCTCGGCCTTAGCTAAGGTTTTCACCAACATGACGGTTGACGCATGATCATCCATCCCTTAGATTGGGTCAAGTATCTGTGTGCTTTGACGAACTCTGTTTTCTCATCCTCCAATCCAAGATCCTCCAAGCCTCTCAGATGATTTTGAAGAGGCTGACACTCTTAACTCAAAGGTTTGTCCACCGTAGAAACTGTTCAGGTTTCGAGTGGCTCGAGGCTTATCAGTGGGAAAGAGGTTCTTGAGCATTTTAGATGACTTGAGGCTTATCTATGAGGAAGAGGTCCTTGAGTATTTTGGGTGACTCGAGACTTATTTGTGGAAAAGAGATTCTCGAGTTTTGAAGTTAATTTGTGGAGAAGATATCCCTGAGTCTAAGGCTTATTTGTACGGAAGAGGTCCTTCAGCCTCATCCGCTCGAAGTTTATTTTCATGAAAGAGCTCCTTGAGCTTGCATCCTGCCATCCTTTGAGGCTTATCTGTGAGAAAGAAAACCTCGGTTTATATGTGGGGAAGAGTTCGTTCGTATCTATCGAGATCTATCTGTTGGAAAGAACTACTCGAAGTGGGTTGAGGATTATCTATAGGGAAGATTCCTTGATGTTGTGGCCTTTTGACTATTTTGACTTTTCATTTGCTTGTGTGGCATGTGCCAAGTTGGCAGCACCTGGGGTACACCTACAATAATAACACGAAATCATTGAACTCATACTTATGTTACATCACAAACTTCTCTTTGTCTCTTTCTGATTTTTCTTTTGGCCTAAGAGGTTATATATGACCAATACGGTTAATTTTACAATAGACTAGTCTTGCATTGACTCTGAAGAAATTTGATCAATCCATTTGGTGTTCAGTGGACAATGCTTAACTAGTTGGTCCGTCTTTCCATTAGTGGAGCACTTATTGGTGCTGCCTCGATCAATCGGGCTGTTGCTTTGAATGGTTAATAACTTCTTGGATGGTCCTCGACTAATCAGGTTTAACAATGACGAACAGTTTCAAACAAGAACCTCTGCTTCAGGAAACTCCCTTTCTGGTGTCCCAACCAAATACAAGACAATTATGCCTTGATTTCTATATACATAAGCCACCTTGAAAATTATGTTGTCATCTCCTACTGTTAGCCCCTTGACGGTACCTACCATGGTGCGATTACACATGGCATTTCTTTACATCCTATTTGCTGGTAGGAGTGTGTCACAATTCTTCACAATTGCTAAAATGAATTTTAAGTCCAAGCAATTTAAGTTTCTACCGGAATTGGCTTCATTAACATAAAAGTCATATTCCAAAGGGAAAGTTTGATGGTAGTATCTCTCCTAAAGGTGTTAACTCTACTAATCAAAATTCATATAAAAAATAGTCAAATTAAATGCTAATTTAGTTGATCCTACATCTCACTTCCATTTAAGGAGCAATGACATAATCTTTGAACTAATATATAAGGCAAAAAATCATAGCTATACAAGGTAATGATATACTGGAATTCGCTAATATTGTTGAAAATTTAATATTCTTTGACCTTGTCATCTACCTTGTATAGCTACAAACAGGTTGATAGATTGCAGCATATGCCACGAAGAACCCCGATCCTCTTCGGTACAATTTTTTGTACTGTACTTTACTGTGAATATGTAACATCATTACATCGAAAATGCAACACCATTAAATCGAGCATGCAACAACAACGTAAAGTGTTGCATTCTCAAAGGAAAGTGGTTGCAGTGTTGATATGTTGCATCTTCGAAGTAAATGTGTTGCATCTCGATGTAATGGTGTTGCATATGCACTTGAAAGTACCGTGTACTAGAAGGATCCTGATTCATCCCATGAATGATGGCTGCATTTTTGCAGCTGTTACACTACTATAACGTATAAGCACAACAATAATATATATACACACAGGGTTAATTGCAAAAAATTGAGAGAGAGAGAGAGACAGCAAGGAGAATGGAGTTGAAGAGAATAAGGAGAGAAGAGGGAATGGATAAGGGAATTTTCATCTGAGGTTGTCCTTCTTATATTTTGTTCTTTGCCTAGTTTAGATCTAGGTACAGAACAAAAAAAGGAAAAGATTAAAATCATACCAGTTAGTCTTGAGTACAGAAAGCTTAGATTGTAAATCTAAGGACGAATCTCAAGTTTTTGGTGTTTAAACTTGTATATCTGAAGGTTGGAGGGCAGAAATGAGCAAGAAGGGGAGAACACTGGCTACTTAAGCCAGCTGCCAAAAACTACACCTTTGACTGGTGTCTTGGTTGAGTGAGCATGAGACTTCTGCGGTTTTTTGTTCACCTGAGATCTTGACTTGACTATTACTTGGTTGAGTTGGCCGAGTCGAAAAAAAGGTGGTTGTGCCTAGTAAATTCACACTTCTCTTTCTTGATGTTAAGGTGTCGATGTGTTAAAAGTGATTTATTTGTGAGAAGGTGGAGGTTGCACAAGTTAAGTTTAAAATCCAAGGGGGCCTTTTAAGTTGGTTTGGTCATGTGCAACGAGTGGGTATATTGTGATTTAGATGAAAGATTATCAATGGAATGCACAAAAGAAAATGGGTCAAAGTGGAATGCGAAAAAGGATATGGATCGAGGCAAGTAAGAACATACTTGATGGCCTATTATCTTATGATATCATCCTCTCTCAGATGGTGGATACTGCTGATTTTTCAGATCTTTCTAGACCTGATGTCTTTTCTTTTCAAGCGCAATAAGATGGATTCTTAGAGTATAACCTGTTGGGCACATCTTTTCCTATATTTCCTACCCCAAAATCACTTTGTATAACTTTTAAGTCATATCATTTTTATTCTTTCATACAAAGTCAATGGACAATGCTGATAGATGCTTGCTAAAACTGTAGCAGCATTCCTATTCCTAATCTAAAATGGGTTATTTTAAATGTTAAAAAACATGAGGTCTCAGTTACAACTTACATTGGTATGTTAATGCTTTTGAAATTTCATATATGAGACAGTAATCCCTAAAAGGGGGGAACCCTATTAAAGAAAGAAAATCTTCCTACCCAGGAGTTGAGGTAGATGATAAGCGCACCAGCGGATTCTCGTCAGTTGTCACTTTATTCCTTCTCAATCTGGTAGTACTCTTTCTACCACGCAGGCTTTCAGAAGCTACTGCTACTGGATGGGGAATGAATCAAGCACACGAGATTTAGCCATTATTAGATGCAGGCGCTTTCTTAGTACGGGATTCTATTGCAATGATAACTTAATATGCGACTGTTAACTTCTATATCTTAGTCCAGTTGATCTTGTAGTAAATTTGCCATTATCCTTCCCCTGATTGAGGAGATTCCTGTGTGTGGCTCGTGATGTTAACAGAAGTTATTTACCCACCAATAAGAAAAAAAATAAAAATTTAATGACCGTATTTTTTTGTTCTAGAGGTTAATATTTGAGTTCATTTTTTATACCTTTGCAGAGGTATGACATTCCTTGATGTCCTAGTTATCATCTCTGGTTATAGTGACACCAAATTTTGCGATCATGTACCAAATTTGTTCAATCAATTGGTGTCAACAAATTTATCTTGTTGAAATGAGTAATTTTTTCCATTAGTTGAGGTCCTCATAATTTTTTATTGTAGAGTCCTGAGTTAATGTAAATGTATTAGAAATTCAGAATTTATAAAGTGCCACAGGCTGCTTTGTTGAGCTTGTATTACTTTATATAACTACCATGGGTGGTACAGATTATCTATGCATGCAGATGGAACCTACAGAAGGGAAGATGGACCATGAATCTGATGAGGAGATCCTTTTAGCTCAGCAAAAACCAGAAATGAAATGCATAGCTCTGACTTTGAGACATCTCATATTGGTTCCTTTGCAAACATGACCAACTTATGGGTCTTTAAGCAGATGGTGATCAGAACTGCCAGGAGTATGTTCACTATCCTAATAAAAAATATTATCATGTTACTACCTTTTGGGCCCCTGGTGATATTGCTGCACTTTTACAGGAAAGCATGTAAGAAGTTTATCTCTCAGTCCTCATTTTCCTATTTGCATCTATCTGGAAAAGAATGTCGCGGAAAGGAAACAGTAGAGGGGATATATTGGTGAGCAAATGACATTTTGTATGATTATGTGGCAAGTGGCTTGATGTTCACAAATCATATCACTTAACTTTGTTCAAGCCTCATTTATTCGTGATGCCTCTGTTCTTGGGTTTTAATCCTTTGAATGTACTTCTCATATCATAGGGTTGGGTCTTCTTATTCAGCTTACTGGGCCTTGCACCTTTAGATGAGCCGCTAGGTTATGTAACTCAGTAAGTGTTAGCTTTTCAAATTAAAATGTTGCATCCCATTGTGTTGTTTAGCTCTCTTTCCTTTGGACATACTAATTCACTTGCTCACCTGCACTCTGTTGCAGGCAGCTTGCATGTTATACCGGACCTACGGTATACTTAATATTTTTCTGTGTGATGTTTAATGAGAAAGAGATATGCTAAACAAGCAGTCAATATTATACCTTGAGTGTATAACTGTAATGGCTTTAATTGCCTTGAAATTGAAGAGAAGTCAATATTGTGTCTTCATATCGGCTAAAGTGCACTTATAACTGCAAATGCTTAATGTATTAAGAGCATGAGATGGCACTAAAATTTGAAGTAGGTCTTGAAAATCATGTGGGGTAGAGGAATATGGGTATTAGGGGCTAGCAATTTTTATTTGAGTAACTATTAATTTACTCAACTCAACTCAACAAAGCTTTTTTCTAAGTTGTTGGGGTTGGCTACATGATTTTTTCCCCCCCAACCCTCCTCCCTTTTTCAGGCTTTGGGACTGGCTGTGTAAAGATGAGCAATAAACATGACACGGGCAGAGAGAAATCAGCTCATCTCATGGGATTAGAGTAATCAATATTAAGCCCTTATTTGGTCTATAATATCTATTTTGTTAATACTAAAAGTATCATTAACTAATGACAGACCAAAGACATGGAAGATCAGTTATTTTTCTACTGAACTTGAGAAGAGTGGGAAGAATTTTGGGGGTTCATTTATTTTAATTGCACAATTATTGTCTTAAACTTTAGTGAGATACCTAGCTTCCTTTTGGAATTACATCAGAAACATTGACTATTTCTTCGGGCTACATTATTTATTTATTTATCAAGGACCAGTTTGTCCCTATTGATTTATATGCCAAGATGCTGAACTGTTTCTTTTTAGTTTATGACTTGATAATTGATTTTTCCATTCCCTGGGAAGGGATATCAAACTATTTCAAAGGTTTGATGCTTATTCTAGCTATCTCATTGTCGCTGCCAGTTTCTTTATACACGTTGACCCTTCAAATGGTAAGTCTTGATAAACATAGTTTTGATTCTTTTGACCCATTGGAAAATAGGGAGCTTGTAATGTTTAACTACAATACTTACATTCTGTGTAATTGCTCTTCTTCTCAGAAGTCATGATTTGTTGAATTGTTACCCCTGTCGGTTGTGTGTGTGTGTGGAGGGGGAGGGGGGAGAGACAAGGGTTGTATTTACAAACCACTATGTAGTAGCACCACAAAAGCAAAAGGAAGTAGAAGAAGAGACGGTACAATTGATATGCTCTGATAACAATTGAAAATGCATTAGGGACCGTTACCTGAGGCTCTGATATGTCAGAGTGTGAGCTGTGAATTAGGTCTTGTGCATATTAGTTGTCAACTAATAACTTTTTGAATTACCGTTAATCATTGTTTAAAATCCAGTTAATTAGTTTGATTGTCTAAATTGCAATCATATAAACATATAAAGCATTCAATAAAATAAAACAAAGACACAATATCTTTTAATATAGAAAATCATAAGTAGGAAAAAACCACGAGAGCTAATCCAGACAAACAAAAATCATTATGCTAGAAAGTGAGTACAACCCAAGCTAACAGACTTTACTACAAGAAACCCTTCGTTACCTTTTGACACAGAAAATTACAGACTTTCTCCCAAAAGTTTCCAGGTCATCCTTCTTGCTTTTCAAAAATATCCGCTCCTTACGAATCTGCTTCTCAAGCGATTTCAAGTCCCAACCACTTGTCGTTCGGTCTTGTTCTCAATGAACCACTCGGTTGATGCTCAGATAGATTTTCTCAGTTCAGCTCCTTACTTTGTTATCTCAATCACGTATAATATGGTAATCTATGAAGAACCCTAGATTGATTCCCGGAGCTTTCTTTATAAATATTAATTTTCACAATAACATTTAAGGATTTCAAAATTTCTGTAAGAGAAACCCTAAATTGACTATAACCCTATAGTGAATATAGGAGATCCATGTAGTATGGGAGTGAAATCCTTTTAGAATTCTGATTTGAGAGAGTTTGCATAAAAGTGTGTCTGCATGGTTCTATTGATTGAGTCTTCAATTGACACTCACTGGACAAGCTTTGATCAGTTGACACATTGATCGAAGCATTCTGGATTTCAAAAATACATTTCTGGAAAAATCTGGATCGATGGACCATTTTAATTGAGGTATACTGTTTTTTTTTTTTTTTTTTTAGAGTAATGATAGAAAACCCGAAATAAAATAAGCGAAATATCCCCAAATCCTATGTGGCTATGCCACTTCAATTTCTCATACCCCACGCAACTCCACCGTCTCTCTCCTCTTTTGCCGGCATGACCAACACTCAAAATTCTGGTTGTTTCTCTCTCTAAAACCTCTCTTTTTGTCTCTACCCTCCTCCATTACCTCACCACATCCATACTTGACTAGCATAATTTTTCTTCCTCTTTATCTCTCTAAATCTGACAAAAACAATCTTGGATTTTAGGGTCTTCGACTATGTGAATGTTGTGAACTATAATGGTGGGTACTGTGTGTTTGACTGAACCCTAGGATCTTTGGTACTGGTACGAACCCTAGAAGGTCTCCTCTATTACCTTCTAAGGTCGACAATGGTACCGCTGGCAATTAGAGACCTAAGTCGATAGAACTCTCCTCTATGTACATGTCTTCTACTTCTTCAACTTCAACAACTTCATCCACGGCCATGTCTTCCAATTCGTCTTCTTCGGGGCAGCTAATCACGTTTCAGCCTAATACGTAGTTCAAAGCCGGCAAGTTTTCAGAAGCGACAAGCTATTGAGCACTACAACGCAGAGTTTGTCAGTTTCGTATCAAGGAGAGTCATATTCACTTTCTGTTAGTAAAGGTCCGCCGGAGAGAAGGAAGCCGGCGATGCCGGTGAGGATCAGACAGAGAATTCGAACTCTGTTGATTAGCATCGGTGGTAAAAAAGTGAATTATCTAGGTAGGAGTTTGGATTGTACTGATGAGATGAAGAGAAAAAGAAATTGGGTGGAGTTTGGATTGAATTGATGAGAAGAAGAAATTAGGTGGAATTTGATTTGTACTGATCTCAATTGGAATTTTTTTTTCTCTAACTAAAAAAGTAGTTTTGAGTCTGATGTGGCATAGGCAGATAGAGAAAAAGAGAGGTTTTAGAGAGAGAACCTGCCGGAATTTTGAGTGTTGGGTCATGCCGGCAAAAGAGGAGAGAGACGGTGGAGTTGCGTAGGGTATGAGAAATTGACGTGGCATAGCACATAAGATTCGGGATATTTTGCGTATTTTATTTCGGTTCTCTATCATTACTTTTTTTTTTAATTTCTTATTTTGAAAATCACTTTATAAAAAATTCCAGTTTTGATAAATATGATTAAAACAATATTTTTGAGCATTATAGAGATCAAACCTAGGTCATTATCGGTTTCTGTGATCTCAACTTACCGAAGCTAGATATGTGATTGAGTCTTGAGAGATTTTCAGTATGTATTACGCTAAACTCCATTTCCATCATCTTCGATTCTTCAATGGTTGTAGATAAATGACTACTAATAATACAACTAGGAATTTTTTTTTTTTTTAAAAAAAACTAGGAAAAAAGAATGACTCATAATAATACAACTAGGAATTTTTTTTTCTAAAAAAAAAAACCAGGAAAAAAGAATGACTCATAATAGTTTGACACACTGTACGACCCAGGTTTTGAGTAGGAATATGGCAACACGACTCAAATACCTAAGAAGAAGGAAAACGATCCCTTGCTAATTCAGATTAGGAATTTCCTCCATGACATGACTTTTAGAGGTTCAACTGTATTACAAGGAGCTAAGAAAACAGATTTTGGTCTAGGTATAATGTGTGAAAGTTGGCACCAGTTTTAAGTCTGACATCCTTGAATTAGTTCATCGGCAGCTATTAGATGTTGAAAGATGAAGAAAAAAAAAATTCACCGCCATGAGAGATGAGGCAATTCCACGTACACTGGAAAGTTATCCAAATAGAGTATGGAGAACTGCATGTGCTGAACGATCTCTAACCAGACTCAAATAACTTTAAACTTAGCATATTATTTTCTGATGTATAAAGTTGTAGATTTCTTTGGTGAACCAAATTATCAGAACCTAATCAAAACATTACTTGTAAGCTTCATTGACACCCTAGCCCACCCCTTCTTCAAAACACATGAAATGATTTCTCATTTCTTAATACAAAATCATCGTACTGGAGAAGAAAAAGCATTATAAAATTTTTAGATTTTGAATTTAGAAGCAGCACAATCTTCAGCTTAGCAATTAATGTTTGTTGCTATGGGCTCAAATGCAGATGACAGCTGAATCTTGCAGGATGGCGATAGTAATGCACCACCCACAAATATTTCAAGTTCCTTCACCGTAGATGCATGACACTGTGTATATCTGGAGCTGGTTAAATATTCATTTGTGTTTGTATTTTTCTTCCTAGATCACATAATGAGCAATTTCTTTGTTTTTCTGCAGCCTTGTTCACAATGTTTGATTTTGTACATGTTGATCAACCTGTGTTCTTGTATGTTTGTTGACTTTTGAGAAGGAATTTTGGAGTCCCACCCTAAAAAATAAAAATATATATAAAAAAAAAAAAAAAAAAAAAAAGAAGAAGAAAGAAAAAAAAACAAGCTGAACTCTTGAATGGCTTAATTGTGGATGGAAACACTATTTTAACAAGTGATCCACCATGCCAAAATAACTCAGACCATGCCGCTTACCAACTTGTTTTTTAAAAAGAGAAGTCTTTGATCAGGTTCACCAAAGCTACAAGGTAGAGCACTGTTTAGTATATTTCTTTAACCCTTGATACTAAAATTCTGCAACTGGAAGACTAAAATATAGGTATACTATTTTAATGTTTGTGTAATGTGTGTGTAATGTGTGTATACAGATAAATCTATCTCTAGCATTGTATTATTTTTTTTATACAGGGATGATGCATCCTGGCATGGGGTAATCATCATTGACTTTGAATGGTTCTCCTTACTTTGGTGGTCATGTTCTCTTCTCCAGTTGAGACTAGGAAGGTGTGGTGCCACTTTCATTCAGCTAATAATAATCGTTAGTGGTAAATGATTTTTAATTGTAGAGTGTTTTATCCATTAACAAATTACATAATTTTGTCATCCTTACCAGAATATGATTTCATAGTTTCACCAAGTCTACTAATGGGTAAAAAGGAAAAATAAAATAAAATTAAATTAAATTAAAAAGTTCAACAAAGTCTTCATTCTTCAAAAAAAAACGAAGTCTTCATTCTTCAATATGGAGTGTCTGAACATCCCTGTGCCCAGAAAAATAAGCTCATGTTTTACTTAGAATTTTGTGGAACAAAAGACAAAAAGTCGGTCTTTTTGCTGGATAAAGACTAAAGAAATTCTTTAATGGGTCAACTTGCCAAATATAATATGTTTTTGCAAGTGGTAGAGAAACACTAAAAAACAAATAATTATTTGTTACAGAACATTACATGTTTATACAAAAAAAAAACGAAAAAGATAAAAAGAGGCTAATTACACGGATATCATTGTTATTATAGTAAAATGATGTGATTGGGATTAAAACAGACCAATCGTCTTGTGAATACGATGGATCATTTATGAGTTTTACAAATCTCAGACTTGATTTCAGTAATTTTCAATAATCCAATATAAAACAGACCCAATCGTCTTGTCAATACCATGGGTCATCTTCTCTCAATCACTTCACAAACCGTAGATTAAATCTGTCCACGTTTCAAAATCTAAATGCTCTAGTCATCAAACAAATTATTAGGACATAGAATTATACAACGCTAAGTCAAGCCCATTATAATAATCTTTCCATAGTGGTTAGATTTGGAAGTGAACCACCTTGGTTTATGTTTACTCATGCTCTCTCTCTCTCTCTCTCTCTCTCTCCCTCCTTTGTTCATGTTTATTGTTTACTCTCTCTCTCTCTCCACTTAACACGCTTTCTACCCCACTATGTTGTATGAAACATAAAAAAAAAAATCATATGAAAAGTCCACCAGCCAGCCGCCCCAAAAGTAAACGCTTTATCAGAATTTAGACCCCACCATTTTCATATTGCTTCAAGTTAACATCAACCCCTCTAAACTCTCTCTCTCTCTTGGGAATACTTTAGTCTGAAAAACTTGGACGAAAGGTAGAAAACCCACATGATTCTTGGGAGTTTCTTGCCATCCCCAACTGTTTTCTGTGTTTCTGTTCTAATAATGATCAAAAGATTTTAAACAGCCAATCTGGCCTAAAAGATCATACCTTCAAGAACAGTCATGCTCTTGTGGCTCTTCCATTCTTCTTCACCCCACCACAACAGCCACCACAGGCCGTCTGCCTTTGGCTGCTTCTGTTTGGATGTCTTCTTAACAATTGTGTTCCTTTCTTCTTTTTCCAATCCCTGCCATGCCTCCTGCAATCAGCTCGATCGCGATTCTCTCTTATCATTCTCTCTCAACATTTCTCCTCCCTTGAATTGGTCTTCTGTGATTGACTGCTGTGTCTGGGATGGTGTTTCTTGTGATGGTAATGATCAGGTGATCCGTTTAACGCTGCCCTTTAAAGGCCTCCACGGACTGATCTCTCCGTCTATTGCAAACATCAGTCATCTCTCTCAACTCAATCTCTCACACAATTGGCTCTCAGGTTCTCTCCCTGATGGCTTCTTCACATCCTTGAATCAACTTGACACCATTGACTTGAGCTATAACCGGCTTTCTGGACCGTTGCCATCATCTGATAGCTTGCCTATTGCCACACACACACTCGATTTATCCAGCAACCACTTTAATGGGACAATCCAGTCTTCATTTCTCCAGCCTGCATCCAATTTGCTGAGTTTCAATATCAGCAATAACAGCTTCACTGGCACAATACCTTCCTCTATCTGCAGTATTTTCCCGTCTGTCCAGCTTCTTGATTTCTCCTCCAATGATTTCAGTGGTGAATTTCCCCAAGGAATTGGAAATTGTTCCAAACTGCAGGTCTTCCGGGCAGGTTTCAACCATCTTGCAGGACTGCTTCCAGATGATATTTACAGCACTGTGCAGCTGCGAGAACTCTCATTACCTGCTAATAAGCTGTATGGATCCATTGATGATCGCATTGTTAACCTCACTAACCTTGCAATCCTTGAACTCTTTGGCAACGAATTTACTGGCATGATCCCTCAGGATATTGGGAAGCTCTCCAAGCTGGAACGCCTGCTCCTTCACATTAACCATTTGAATGGCACTGTGCCTCCATCTCTGATGACTTGTGTCAATTTGACAACCTTAAATTTAAGGGTCAACTCCTTTGAAGGTAAGCTCTCCACACTTGATTTCTCAAAACTCCTCCGACTTGTCACAATTGACCTCGGAAACAATCACTTCACTGGTAGCTTGCCAGGAAGCCTTTTCTTGTGCAAGTCACTGTCTGCAATTCGACTGGCCACTAACAAGCTAGAGGGACAGATTTCTCCTGACATACTTGCATTACAATCTCTGTCTTTTCTCTCAATTTCCAATAATAGTTTAACAAATTCCACGGGAGCAATCAAGATTCTGATGGGTTGCAAGAACCTCAGCACCGTCATCCTCTCAAAGAACTTCTTTGGTGAAGCAATGCCAGATGATGAAAGCATATTAGCTTTGGGAGGATTTCAAAATCTCCAAGTTCTAGGCCTAGGTGGCTGCAGGTTCACTGGGCAAATTCCTGCTTGGCTGGCAAAGCTCGAGAAGCTAGAGGTTGTGGACCTATCTCAGAATCAATTCACAGGCTCAATTCCAGGTTGGTTGGGAAATCTTCCAAACCTCTTCTACTTAGACTTGTCGAATAACTCCCTATGGGGAAACTTCCCCAAGGAACTTACTGTACTGCCAAGTCTAGCATCTCAAGAAGGTGGCGATCAAGTAGACCGGAGTTATCTAGAGTTGCCTGTCTTTATTCAGCCCGATAATGCTTCCGATATGCAATATAATCAGCTCTCCAACCTGCCGCCAGCAATATATCTGAAAAGCAACAACCTCAATGGCACAATCCCTAGTGAAATCGGCCAGTTGAAGTTCATTCATGTGTTGGATCTCAGTAATAACAACTTCTCTGGCAATATTCCAGACCAATTATCTAACCTCACTAACTTGGAAAAGCTGGACCTCTCTGGAAACCATTTGTCTGGCGAAATCCCAGCATCACTGAATAATCTCCATTTCATGTCTTCCTTCAGCGTGGCAAACAACAACCTTCAAGGGCCAATACCATCAGGAGGTCAATTCGATACTTTTAGTAGTTATAGCTTTGATGGGAATCCAGGATTGTGTGGTCGAGTTCTGCAGCGTCCTTGCTCTGTTCCACCAGGATCTCCACATCCTTCTGCACTTAAAAGAAGCCCCAAAAAGAAAATCATTATTGGACTCATCCTTGGCATCTGTTTGGGCATTGGCTTTACTGTCACCATGCTAGCATTCTGGATATTGTCCAAGAGAAGAATCCTTCCAGGAAGTGACCCCGGCAGAACTGATTCAGGCACAATCTCGTTTAACTCTACTTCTGGAATATCGATCAAGGATTGCAAAGATGCCAGTCTAGTGGTTGTGTTTCCAGACAACGCTGATGAAATCAAGGATCTCACAATATCTGAGATCTTGAAAGCCACTGACAATTTCAACCAAGCAAACATCATCGGTTGTGGGGGTTTTGGTTTGGTATATAAAGCAACTTTAGCAAATGGGATCAAGGTGGCTGTTAAGAAACTTTCGGGAGATATGGGTCTGATGGAAAGGGAATTCAAAGCAGAGGTGGAAGCTCTATCTACAGCCCAACACAAGAACTTGGTTTCCCTGCAAGGTTACTGTGTGCATGATGGCTTTCGGTTACTAATATATTCGTACATGGAGAATGGAAGTCTGGATTACTGGTTGCATGAAAAGACTGACGGTCCATCCCAACTTGATTGGCCTACTCGATTGAGAATAGCACAGGGAGCAAGCTGTGGGCTGGCTTACATGCACCAGATCTGTGAACCACATATAGTTCATCGGGACATTAAGTCCAGCAACATCCTTCTTGATGAAAAGTTTGAAGCACATGTTGCAGATTTTGGATTGTCCCGTCTCATTCTCCCATACCATACTCACGTCACCACTGAACTTGTTGGTACCCTGGGTTACATTCCCCCCGAGTATAGTCAATCATGGATAGCCACTTTGAGAGGGGACATCTACAGTTTTGGGGTTGTGATGCTTGAGTTGCTCACTGGGAAGAGGCCCATGGAGGTATTCAGGCCAAAGATGTCAAGAGAATTGGTCATCTGGGTGCAGAAAATGAGGAGTGAGGGAAAAAAAGATGAAATTTTTGATCCTCTCCTGAGAGGAAAGGGATTTGAAGAAGAGATGCTACAGGTGCTTGACGTGGCCTGCATGTGTGTCAGCCAGAACCCTTTGAAGAGGCCAACCATTAAAGAAGTAGTTCATTGGCTTAAGAACATACCGGACAACAGGCAGACACCACGATGAAAGCAATAGTATGCACATATAATCTTACAGAGATATGGGTTTTTGTTACATATTTTAATGTCAGTATACATGTATAACTCGTTGGCTGTGCAGGCAATCTTTTGTTTCATGTAAATGGAAAATTATCTAATGACAATGCATAACCGATGTATAAAAAGAAATGATTCAATTTAGAAGACAGGAACTAGCAAAGAAAATAATGATATGAAAAAGTGCCAAAGGATTTATGGAGAGGACTTAATAGTTGGAACAAGGCTATGCTGAGTTGAGTTTAGTAGTGTAAGTTTCATATACTAATTGCTTTTCAGATTCTTAAACCTCTACAACAGCAGATTTTCCTTCATTTGCGCCTGAATTGCAAGTTCAAATGTGTTCATAATCATAAGTAAATTACAAATGTAATATCATGTTTGTCTCAGCTAATAGTCAACAAGGATTTTTTTTTCTCTCTTTCCTATTTTGCAATGGATACATACCATCAACAGTGAAAAAAAATTCCCAGTTTAGGTTAGCACCTTAAAGCGTACAACAGGAAATCATTTGTACACATGTCTGTCATTTATCTCACAAGAATTAATATGGTTTACCTTGTAATCTTAAGGTTTTCCCATAAATTTGCCTGTTAACAGAAGAAAAATTACGCTATTAGTATTTTGTCATTTTTATATGAAAAGACAAACTTCTATCCGTACATGTGCACTAATCAGTGGAATAATAGCTAGCACTTTGCTAGACTGAAGAAATGTGATGAGTGATTTCTATTTCAGAAGCTATACCCACTTAAATATGTGCTCCTTAATCAGAAGGAAATCCAGCAAAAGATAACAATCACAAGTATTAAAAGCACCAACAGTAAAAGCAAATCAGCTCCATGCCATTACTCTTTAAGCATTTTGTATTAATTATATTCCACAGAGTCATGGATATAAGAAAATAAACTAATCACTATATCTTCTCGGTTCCCAAAGACTTGTGAATTAAAGCTTTATAAGACCTGATAAACTTGGCCTAGTGCAGTAGTGTGTGACCATTGTAATTCATAACTGTTCAATTTCATTCTTCCAATTGAGCTTCCATGAAATGAATTAAGCCCATAAGCAAACTAATCACAGTCCCACATTCCTTTGAAATCCCAGGCAATTAAGATATTCATATCTGTCCTTCACTAGATTGACAGTTCAAAATAATTCATTCTGTATCAGTTTTAAAAATTGTGCGCTCTATAGGCCTACAATTAGCAATCAAATACATCAAGTAACTACTAAGTAATGTGCTGCAATTTCACGTTCTCTGATTCTTTACTGACAGGTCTGTGATAACTCCTAATTAGAAAGTACCAAGTGTACCAATTACCAAAGGAAATAGATAAACTAAACATTATAACTAATTTCTGCATAAGCTTAAAACTTCTAAAACCGAGTTCGATCTATAAGGTCTTCAAAGAAGAGGAAATTATTTTAATCCTCGAATGTAAGGCATCAAGAAAATTTCTAGCAGTTCCATTACGAAATACAAACGCAAGTTCAGTAAAAAGTCCATATGATAAAAGTTTGAACTCCCCCAGACTCAAATACAGACATGGTGAACAGATTCCCCCAGGAAGCTCTAGTATGACCGACTGATCTCTGATATATATGTACACAAACACACACACGCACATGGGTGTGTGTGTGTGTGTATGAACTTGCGTGTTTGAAAACTTGATAGTAATGTGTAATGTATCTAGTTAGGCATTTTTACAAGCAGGTGGCAGGACTAACAAACCTTGAAAACAATTGTTCAAACCCGCACTTCTTTAGCTTAGAAACCCTGTGACAAGCAAGAAAAATTGACACAAAAAAGAGTAAGAACCCATGAAATTGATACCAAACACCATAAAACTTAAAAAGCACACCAATTTAAGACACATTGCTGTTCCAAATTTATCCAATAAGGAAGATGCAATATCTATATATATACTTATCCAACAAACATTTTCATATGGTGGAACAAAGGCATAGGCATAGGAGAAAAATGAAGATGATGACTGTGAATATGAGATGGTTTAGGATGCAGAAGGATCAATGCACCACCTTATCAAGAAAACCTTGAAGGCCTATACCACAAGATCCAAGTGAGAGGGGTTCAGTAGAAAGGTGGGTTTCTTTGTTTAGGACTGAAATGAATGGTTTGATGTTCTACTGTTTAGGACCTTTTCCATTCATTTTAAAGCATGGTTCAGTTCTTTCAACATAATAATTTAGTGAGCAAATCCTATCGTACCTGTCAATGCATTGAAGAAGATTTGAGTTCAATCAATTATTTAAGACGTTGGACTTGCTCATTGGAAGAAACGTAAAAAAAAAAAAATATATATATATATATATATAAAATAAAAATAATATTACACTACTGTCCCTCATATTTGGACAAATTATACACAGGTAGAGTATTTAATTTTTATTACTTTCACCCCTCTTAAGATTTGACGTATATATTCAACGACACCCTTTGTCAATAATGAAAATTCAAAAAATAACTAAGTTGCTTTTTTCTTATATTAAAAGATATCAATAATCTTATATTTTGACATGAAATGACAAAAATGCTATTGAAATGTAAATTATCAATTTTGATACCAATTTTAAATTATAATTTTTTTTTTTTTATGACATTTGATTAAGTTTTTTTTTTTAGGCTTGATTAGGTTACTTTTTTCTCAAAATAAAAAAAAAAAATGTAGGTAATATAGTATTTATAAGATGGGAAAAAAAAAAAAAAAAAAGGGTAATAGTTTTTGGTTTGACAGATTTTTTTATTAAACAATTATTAAATTAGATAAGGGTATGAAAGACATTTTATATTTTGAAGAGAAATTAAAGTAATAAAAGCCAAACGCCTCTATCTGTATGTAATTTGTCTAAAGGAGGCGGTGTAATTTAAAAAAAAAAAAAAAAAGTGTGTATTCTTTATATTGTGAATCTTTTAATTTTTTTTAACTTAATTTTTCAAAAATTACTTTCCAAAATTGTTGTCCACTAAATGAATTTTTAATTATTTTTAGTTTGTATGTAAAAAGGACAATACATGGGTCAATATGCAATTGATCACGTATTTACATTATAATATTGAATTGATTTGTTATACGGTACCAAATCGATTAAATGATCCATTCAACTCAGCGAATCTGATTCATTGTGGTGTTCATAATGAGATGTTGACTATACCTTTAATGGCTAGCCATTTGTGAAAAAGTACTAGACAATTTACCATGGTTTTAATTTACTGACCTACTTTAAATTACCTAATCGCACCACCTTGTGTTGATTGTGTTTAACTATTGACAAATTGTCAACATACATACATATATAAACACAAAATCATGTCGTGCTGCCAAGCAACATGGTCCAGCAATTGTGGTTTTGCCTCACACGACTCATTCTTACTTAGGTAGGCACCATAATCATAATGCTCTGATAAAGATGCTAACTTCAAAAGATAAGATTCATACATGTCATGACAGTAGAATCCTACTTAATTAGACCATATCGAACTATATCATCATTGGCTGTCAATTTCATGTTTGTATACTCAGACAGCACTGCACTGCCCACCGTATATATAGTGGTATATTCCCATTGTTTGTTTGAATGTGGAGTCCTTACAATAACCCTTCCTTTACCGGACAATAAACTTTTGAATTGCGATATAAAATTCGGATATCCGTGTCTCAATTATGTGAATGGAGATGATGTCATTAATCAGATCACATTATTACTCACTCACATAAAATAGTCGGATTAGTTCGAAAGTCCGACTACTTATTATTTTCCTAAACTATTAATAGTGCACCAAACAATAAGCTTCAAGTGTGATCATTGGATCATTTGTCTACCTGTATAATTTATCTTTCTTTAACGAAAAAGCGAGTAGTTCGAGTTTTTTTAGTGGATATTTGTAAGCGTGGTGAACTAAGTCATATAGAGTGGGAGCACAAAAGTAGAAAAATTTAAGTCACACAGAGTGAGAATGAGAACGATAATGTGCACGAAACATGAGAGTGAGGATTCACTCAAAACTTAAGAGTAACACTCGTTGAAAAACATTATGTGAGTTAGTCTGTGAGTATTTAGTTAACGAAAAATAAAAGAATAAATTATATGTGTGATGATATAAATAGATATAAACTACTAGTTAGCAGATTCTTTCTTTAAATAAACAACAAAATTAGGAAGATTTTTAGAACAGGTGGAAGTGGAATCTTTTCCCAAGAATGGATGATGCTTAAGATGTGGTACTTGTATGCAAGAATCCTTATTTGATATGACTATATCTAATGATTCCATTTTGGCATCTTAGCAACATGTATATAAAGAGCATCAGTTGACAACTATTTGCATGAGTTTTAGCATCAAGATTTGCACAAAAAGTTAATAAAACATAAACCCTTTTTATTAATAGGCCAAATGTTTACATCATAAACCTTTTATTTATGAAGAAATACAAGTAGAGCCAAAATACCCACATTGCATCTATTGCTTTATTATTCCTTCTGGACTCATTTATTTTGTCTCTGGCTCAGAATATTTCCTTCATCAGACACTTGAATAAAAGGGAAAAGTTACAAAGCGAACTACACATGGAGATTAATCCTTATACAACCTATATTAATCATTGATTAATAAACCCTAATCGATGCGCGACGATCCGACTTCCAAGTGATGTTGAAGCTGGATGCCAAATATCTCCCCCATGTCAGCCTCATCAGTATTCATGCTGCTGGATGCCTGGTCTGCTAAAAAGCATAAAAATAGTAGTAGTGCCACAATACACCTCTCATGTGCCCAAAAAGCAAAAACCCAATTGGATTAACCACCAATTAGGTTAAAAAAAAATTAGGGCACATGTATTAGGAGATTGATATATAGGCCACAAGGCAGGTCAGATGATCATAGGCCAAAACCAGGCTAGGCTAATGGAATGAGCCAACAAGAGGAGAAAATTAGGGATGTTCTCACAAAAACATCTTAGGAAAAAAACTAAGCTCTCTACTGATAAGTAGGATTTATTTTGTAAGATGTGTGAGTGAGTATAAACGTATACTAATATTGATATATAAGAAGAGAAAAGAAAAGAAAATGAGTAGAAAAAGACCGTGGTGGGACAAAGTTAAAGTGATGCAGATTAGTGGTATTTCCACTCCTTTCAAAGTGAAATATAGGGAGTTCGAGATTAGTCGTCTCCTTGAATATACCAGCAGAGGAGCATGGTGGTGCATCGTTTAAGGATGTAAAACCGCGCCCGTTGCTCCTTAACCAAGGAAGCACACTTCCTTGTGAACCCATTGGCCTTTCTCTTTGAAGTGCCACTCTTGTAGTGTCGCTTGAGCTCAGCCATAGCTGAAAATTGATTTATAGTATGACTTTGAAAGAAAAAAAAAAAAGAAAAGAGAGAGAGAGAGAGAGAGAGAGAGATGGGAAAAAAGCCCACAAATTGGAGCTGGACCCTGAGAGGGGTAGTGAGAATGAAGTGATGTATTTATAGAAAGAATAGAAGGGGGTTGACTAGGCTTTGAAATGAGAGGGGGAATGAACATGGTCAGGTTCGAAAACAGAGGGATTTGCATGGAAAGGTGTATAAACTCAGCATTGTTTTTTCTAAGAAAGAAGGGAGTGAACGTGGGCATAGATTTTTTATGTATTTAAAATTAAGCTGTGTATATACATTGGAAGAGAATGGATATATGATTGTTATATACATACATACATACATACATATATATATATATATATATATATGTATGTATGTATGTATTTGAGTGCAAGTAAGTAAGTAGATTAATTAGAAAAGTGGCAAAGGAGGCATGAGAAGAGGAGGGATGTTTAATGAAGACAAGGCAAAGAAAAGAGCTATGGGAACAGTGTGTCGGCTAGCTTATCTCAATTCTGAGGTGTATTATTACTGTATTGGGAGGCAGCTTTATTTGGTTTCCAACTTGGCTCCATATCCCAAGTTTCCCCCCTTTCTCTCTCCTCAGATATTTGCATATCATATATATGTATCTATATATGTGTGTGTGTGTGTGTGACAATGAAGTGAAAATACGATGGTAAGAGAAGTTTATTTTACCATATAATTATAATGCACAACTTGACAGTCAAAGATTCGATCATGGATCAAAGTTAATGACAGTGAATAAGAAATTAAAGAAGTATTAGCTTGCAATGATCTCCAAATTTCCAACTCTGATTGTGCTGTAGGTTGTCCTTGACGGAACATTTATGTAAAATCCAGTTATTTTCTCCTTATAGTTACCAAAAAAGGATTTTTGTCAAACGAGGATAATGAAGAAACAATATTGGCACTTTTCAAAGTATATATATATATATATATATATATATATATATAAAGAATTTCCATAATACTTATAGTTTACATTTCGTTTTGAAAGGAAATAAGATACCACTAAGACATATAGATAACATATAAAAAGATAAGTTAATCTTTCACTATGATTAAAGTAACCCGTATTAAAGATAAGTTAATCTTTCACCATGATTAAAGTAACCCGTATTAAAGATAAGTTAATCTTTCACCATGATTAAAGTAACCGTATTAATGAGAGAAAGTAATAAATATGAATAGGAATTCGAGTATTGGTTGTTATCGTCATTATTCTTGTCTTATTTTCATATGAATGGAATCTGCGATATAATTTTATTTCCTCTAGTATTTAATATAATAACTTTTTAAGTAAATTTGAATTTTCTGTCTGTATCGAATCCATTCCCCCAACACTCTCGTAATTGCAGTTGAAATTGACTAATGGCCTACATTCTTATTAGACCAAGCGCCTAGAGATACTACAGAAAACAAGATTTTTACAAATCTGCGGACTTGAATATGTACACCAAGGACTTTGAAGTTCATAAGATTTTGGAGATATGCAAATTTTACCATGTGGATGCTGAGATTTGGTATCAAAAATCACCCATTCTCTATTGTCCCATTTGTCACGTTTTGGGCTACTTTGGAGACAACATCTAATCTCCATAGATTGGTTCATTCATGTCCTAGAATAAACAAACATTTGTTTTGAGGACATATATATCATTATCAGATTTAAGGTTTTAGCTAACAGCTGTAACAATGGTCATAGTATTTTCTTTAGTACGTTTTCTTATTTTCTATTTCAATATGGAGTATCAAAGAAGTGAATTAGCAACATGTCTATGGCATAACTTCCTATTAGCATGAGATTCTTTTCTGACAGCTGCCTTCCAACTGTGGCATATATTTCTATAGATATCATGTTGTTCAAAAACAGTTCGAACTAAGATTTTATACGTTCATTAAATAAATATGTTTATTTTGAACTTAAACAATGAGAACGGTTATTAAATGGTGCCTAATAGATTTTTTAATAATATTTTGAAATGTTTCATAAATCATGCTACTAAAAACACTAAAATAACAGTTAAAAAGTAATAAAAACCAATAAAAAAATTAAAATTAAAATAATATGTTTCACAAGTGAACAAGTCGAGCCAAGAAGTCTAGAAAGAGGACGGAATCAATTTTTTCCCTTTTTATGACATGTCAACAACAATTCCTCTCAAATTTAATCTAATAAAGAAAGGAGTAATTTGTCTATTTATGTATCAACAATTTAACTATAGTTAGCATGTCACAAGTCTCCCGTCATTCTCATCATTTAAATAAGTTTGGAACATGTAATTGATTCATAAGTATTGGGTTGAAGCTTGCATATGGTAATTATGATAGGAAAATGATTAGTTTTGAGAGTTGGACATATTCGATTTATTTATTATTATTATTATTTTTTTTTTTATGTGTAAGTGAAGGATTTTAATAGTCCCTAGAGGCGTAGCAGTATTGGCAGGGATTCAGGAGATAAGTGCTTGAAGTCTCACTTTCGAATCGCACTCCTGACTTGAATGGTGCGTGTGTTGTGAAGTTGATACACGTGTTCTAAAAAAAAAAATTATTTAAAGAATTTCAACATTATCTTTACTCACGTAAAAAAGTCAACGTTATTTTTATTTACATAAACAAAAAAGTCAAATATGTCCGACTCTCAAACATTCATTCTCATATAATTACTATTGTCCAATCTATGAAAGTAATTAAGTATGAAATCACACGTCTTTAATTTGAGTGTTGTTAACATGTGACAAAATGGTACCAATATCTTAATTTAGTAGTAATTTGTGAGTCACACTATGTAAGCTGTTAAGTGTTCAAACATTATTTAATCACCATGTATCTTAGTCGTTTTACAAATTAGTGCTATGAGGAACAGACTCGAAACATACCCAATTAATCATGGATGAATAGAACCACCATTAGGATGGTGGTGAAACGACTAAGAACACCGTCTCATTCATAAATATCCGTAATCTTTTATCTTTTAATATAAAAATTGAACGCACCAGTTCCCAAAATATTGGAAGTAATAAAATGCAGGCCAAGAAATTGAGAGTGACATGTTCAATGTATAGAGTGAGAGTAAAGAGCCTGAATGAACATTCCCTGTACGAGGTGGTTTATTAGTTTTCTGTACAGTTGATCCAAATACAATGTATGTCCGAGATTGAAGCAAAAGCTAACATCAATTTTGCATATTATGAAGTACAAGGGAAGTGATCTGAATGCATATTAGTGCATTGAATCAAGTACATATTTAAGTACAGTACTTAAAGAGGATGTAAACAACACACTTCAGTGCCTTTTCATTGAAATAAATGTAAAATAAAAAGAACAACTGAAAGTAATATTGGAAACCACATTGACTTGTTGAAATGATCCTTCAGATTTGCAGGCCATGAGAGTGCACACTTTGCAAGGACATGTAGAATCAGTAGGAGTGAGGTTTAAGAATTTGGACATAAATCTCAGAGTAATGCTACATTTAATTATTGGGTGCTTGTGTAACTGTTCAACAAGGACTTTTAGTCGAAACGGATACAGAACACAGGTACGACATGATTAAACACGGCGATACGATAAATTGTAAAAAAAAAATTAGGACATGAATAAGGCATGGATACGTTAAAAAAATAATAATATAATATATGTCATTGTATATATAAATAATATATATATTTTATCATTTTATCCATATAATCATAAATAAATCAATAATTTGAATTTTAGAGCTTGATGTTTGTTATTTTTGTTTTCTTAAATTTTAAATTATTTTTCTAATTAACCCATAATATATTTTAGATTGCATTAAATTACATGTTTCTAAAAAAAAAAAAAATGCTTCGTAATTACAAGTCACCTTGCCATATCCTAAAAGTGTCCAAAACATATTCTTTCTATATCCCAGCCGTGTCTGATCAGAAAATAAAATATTCATTATTCAAGATACTTCTACCCGTATCATCCGACGTGTGTCCGGCAAGTATCCGATACTGCCACGTCACCTTAAGAAAAGTATCTATACTTCCTATCTCAGCCATAATGGATAAAGATAAAAGTCTCTCTCCTCTCAAAGTGTTTCAATAAATGACAATCACATAAATCGGTCTTTTATCATTTTCCTGAATCTAATTCTAAAGGCTCTATCATTTTCCTAAATCTAATTCTAAAGGCTCTATCATTTTCCTAAATTGATGGCATGGTAAGTTTTGGGCATATCTACTACAAGAGAGGCGTCAAAAGAGTTGCTGTGAACATTGATGGTGATCTATGCAGTGATATTCTAATTCTTTGGGCTCCAAAGATTGAGTGCATATGCAAAGGGACCTCTTGCAGATGATTCTATAACATATCTTAGATTAACAGATTTATGTTCATCTCACTATTCTTTTATTTCAGGTCCCACTTTGTTTTTCTTACTGTAGTGTGCATAATTAGGGCATAAACAGTTCTAAAAAACACTTAATATAGAAAACCAATTTCAAAATGGGTATGGGGTAGTCTTCGAATCGGATATTTTGTTATGCTATTTTCATGATTTCACACTTACAGTTTCTTCTTGTAAGAATCAGCAGACAAGCATTCAACTGAGACCATGATTTCATGAATTATGCTCTAAAATTAATGCAATAATTTTAGTGGAACACAGCAAAATTTTCATTCAATCATAGAAACAACAAAAATTTATTATGACAGAAACCCCAAATGAAATGAAATCAATAGAACTAATGAGCTTGACATGCAACAGGACAGGTTTTTCCACAAGCCAGAGGGATTCAAATTTATGATCACTAGAAATACTCACTACACAACATTGCAAAACATGAGTCTTGCCGTAACACTGCAGCCGGAATTATTCGCAAGAGAAGCCTTTTTTTATAGAGAGGACATCTGCAAGGCGCTCTCCCTCCCAAGCCTTACAGAGTTGACATAATTTAGGGGGCTGTGTGCAGAAATACCAGGGAATGCAAGTCCAAATATCCTGAACATTACTGATAACCACCCCTCTTTATACTCCGGCCCATGCACATACCCCATCATCAAACTTCTAAGTAACTCCCACACCGCATTCAGATACTCTGGTATCAGGTATCTAATCCCAAAGTAATTTCTGTTCGGCTCCTCGTCCACTTTCTTCAAAGTAACATACATAAAAGAAGAAATCAAGTCAGCATAACTAATTTAATCAATGATTCAAGAAAGTCATGAACTTTACATGGGGACTATAACTTAGAACAGAACAGTGAACAACTCTTCTAGTTTGATTGGATAGAATTTTATCCATGCCATGCTGAAGAACAAAACTTTCGGCTTCTGGACTAGAATTTTGTGGTCTACAATGCCTAGTATGCTTATTTATTGATCATATCATCAATATTTCTTCTAATAAAATCAAATGACAGGTCAAAAGGCACAAGGTTTACAAATTATCCCCGATTTAATCTGAAAATGCTGTCATAATGTAGTGAAAATACCAAAATTCGTTGATATACGGCCCTATGCATATTTGACACACTCTACAACAGAATGGTCCAGATTCTTATTTAGCGGAAACATGTTCACAGTATACACCAGAAACACGATTTGTTTGAAAAGGATGATGAACTCCAATACAATAACATATGAAAGAAGTAAAGTAAGAAGACCAAAGGCAAGAGACGTACTTTCTCAATGTAGAAACTGTTATAGTAAAGGCATGTCCCAAAATGCTTATACAGGAAGGTTCTGTCATCGTAAGGCAGCCTTGGCACAAGGTCATTGCAGTAGACTACCCTGAAGTACTTAGGGAATGGACAATCTAAATGGCCTTCCATAAAGCTCCCCAGTTGCCTGTTCCCAACCCTTGGTTGTCCAAATGTGTGTACACCCAGCAACCTTTGCATGACTTCCTTCTCTTCATGTAGTACTAGCACTGTTGGGAACAAGATAGCAAGGGCCCCTCCTAAGCTATGTCCAGTGACTACAAATTTTGCATTCTTGTGCTCCTTCAGTAAGCTCTTGAGCTTACTTTTCACAGCAAAATATGCAGTCATTTCCACCATCTCTGGTATGAGCTTCTTCCTGCCACTATCAGCTGAAGGGCCAGTGGTTATATCAACAGCATTTGAAGGGGTGATATTTGCGTTATTCCCTTGAAGAAGTTCCTGGAAGGTGGAGGCATCATCTCTGTTGCCCAAACCTAAGGCTTCTAAAAAACCCATGTGGACTTTTCCCAATTTAGGGATCTCATACCAAGAGTAGTCAAAATCAGTACTCCAGTCATCAGCATCAAATGGCTCCGTGCCCCTGAAACTGATCAAAATCAAATTTGCATCTCTTGGTTTGTCACAGAGTATAAAAACTTGGGTCGACCTCTCCTTTTGATAATCTATCAAAAAAAGTTATTTAATAACGAAAAAAAGTATTAGAAAGACATAAGAAGATCTAAAATCATAACTTTAACAAAAAAGAAGAAAGTTCATGTATTAAAGTTGACTTAAAAGGAAAGAAGAAATAACTAGATATAAATGAAGAATGTTCATCAATGCATAAAGCTGGATAATTCCAACAGCTGCCAATGAATATAAATCACATGACAAGTCTTCAATTACCGTTCCAGCAGTTGTAGAAGTCCACAAAATGCATCTGCTTTTTGTCAAGAAGTGAAATTACAAAAGTTAATATTGTTGTGTGCGGTTCATGTTGTACAATCAATTAGCATGAGGAAAGGGAAACAGAGCTGAGTTCACATAGGAAAACCTGCCTTCCAGTGGAGATTTACAACATTTCTAACGACATTGGCATTTTCATAGGCTAACTTGGCGGCTATTATGCAGAGGTCCATAAGACCCTGATCTCCTATTTCTACCCGTATGCTTCTCTGTCCAGAAGCAGATTCACTGATTCCTTCCAACAGAACATCACTCCTGTAAAGGTCTATTCGTCCATCTAAATGCCCAATTGCGCTTATAAAAGTCTCTGAACCTCTCTGTGGTATCACCACCTTTCCTGCTTCCCCAATGCCATTACATTAACAGATCACATTACTGTTGTTGCAACAATGTACTGCACTTTTCTGATAAAAATTATATGAGACATTTTCATAAATGGAAGTTAGGAAACCAGATTAAGCAAGCACACTTCAATAACTGGCCTATCATTTATTTATTTTACTGAACTTTGCATGTTATCAAAGTAGCACAAATATTGTATACTACTCCATAATGTAATTCCCCGAATTGCAAATGATTCACAAATTTTAAAACCTACAAATTCAAAGAATTCCCTAATTGTTATCGACTAATTTTAAAACATACACATTCAAAAAGAAAATTTCCCAGGTAATTAAACATTCATAGAACTCCCTAATTGTTATCGACTATTCTACACCTTTTCATTTAACATTCTATGGCTTAATCTACAAAAAATCAATAAAATTACATCTTATTATTTATTCGACAAAGCTTTTTTTGAAGCCTTTTTCGTCATTAATAGTGTTTCTCCTTTTTTTCATTTCGTTTTATGATAATGTTCACTTAAATCCCAAATTTGAATGATTTGTAGGAAGAACTCCAACATTTGTCATTGTGGTTACAATGTCTATGTGAGTATTTCAGTAATTAAACTTGCTATTGAACTACTCTCTGTTAGAATTTTGAAATAAACCCCAACGGGTTGGCTCAAGTGGGTAAGTAAATTCGCCATGGTGCCTCAGAAAGCGGCAGGTCTAAGATTAGACTCCTCTTGGGGTCAAACAATTCTTTGGAGGGATGTATGAGTATTGAATACCCAATTATATTGTCTTGGGGATCGGATTCAAATCAGTTCTTGTTCTCATAAGCAAACAAATAGTTCTGGAATGCAATAGAAATATTACACATTTTGGGCAAACTCATTGCATGAAGCTACCGCCATTGCAGAGTTGGACGACCGCAGTCTTATCTCGGCATTTGGAGAGGTTGTTTCCTTATTTTGAAACCATGATCTCCAAGTCACAATGGAGCAACCTTAGTGTTGAACTAAGGCTTACCCGTACACAACCCAAGGGTATCAATTCATTCTCATAATGGATAACCACCATCACAATTGATATAAATAAATCACGTATATGCATACCAACCGTACTTTCGAAAGGAGTTCAGGTCTCAAGCCAATATGTGTGTGTGAGTACCAACTAAAAATAAAATAAAAAAAATAAAAAAAGCACATATATGCATATTTCAACAGCAAAAGAATAAGCCAATTTCCTATATAAATACATATCACATATACATATAAGTTGTGAATATATATCGAGTGTAAGAGAGAAACTTACCGTGGAAAAAGTTGTAGAGTAAACCGAGGAAACCACCATTTTCATTGTGGAGATTGAGGACGAACTCCACGAAGTAGCCAATCCACTCCATGGGCTTACCAAAAAGGGCTATGATCTTCCGGACTACAATCGACACAAATATGACCCACCGGTGGTCACCCATCAATCTTCCTCCTCCTCCGCCACGGCCGCCGCCGCCCAACAACTCCCTGTCACCGTCGTAGGAGCATTCGAGAAATTTAGAACAGCTTGTTCTGTCTGATGACGCCCAGAATTGAACAAGGTCGCGGATTCCACCATTTTCAGGACGAACAATCAGGTACCTGAAACTTTGGGAAGAGTTGTCATCGTCTTCAATAGCCATTTCTCACTCACTCAGTCACTCTTTGATTCTACTCTTCTCTTTCTCACACTAGAAATGGAACTTGTATGGGTGGTCGTGGAGGTAAAATTATGATTGAAGGAACATTGATTGTGTGGGAATTTTTACATTGGGATTTCCAATTTATAGGTTTCAGGAGAGGCAGAGGTCGCGTGTACAGGAATGGAATATCTGGACTAATCAAACAGATTGCCGTTAGAGCCCCCAACTCACAATTGATAAAGGTGTATGGGTAAATCTGAAATTTTGTATCAAGACTCAGACGTAAAAGAAGAATTGTTGAATTATCAAGGGTCTATTTGGTTAAGTTCTTTGAGCATTTTTTTTAGAATTGGAAATTAGAAAATGGTACAAAAGCATGCTTTGATTAATGATTCCCTTGCTTGTTTTTTTAGTTAAAAAAAAAAAAAGACACGTTTTCAGTGTTTAGACCCAAATTGGACATTTGGTTCCACTGCAACATAGGGAAGTCAAATGATAAGATACTTGTCCGGAAGGGGAAGGGGAAGGATCGAGCCGCTAAGAGATGCCATGTCAGTAAATTTTTTTAGAATTGAAAATTAGAAAAATGGTACAAAAACATACTTTGATTAGTGATTCCTAAGGCTTGCTTGATTTCTTAGTTTAAATAAAATATGTTTTCAGTGTGTAGACCCCAAATTGGACATTTGGTTTCACTACTACATAAGCAAGTCAAATGATAAGGTCCTTACCCGGGAGGTGAAGGATCGAGCCGCTAGAGATGCCATATTAGCATAAGTAAATCCCTTTTGACTGGTATTTTAATTTAATCAAAAGAATTTTGGTTTAAGTCACATAATCCTTCTCAACATGTATCGTTCTTATGCTCCGAGCGTACTCCCGTTCTCAAGCTCTGCACGCGGTCTAACTCAAATTCTCACTACTTATGATTTAATTCTGCTGCTCTCACGCTCCCGCTTTCGAACTCGCTCTCGCTCCTGCTTACGCTTTATGTGACTTAGGTTTTGGTCCGACAAAAAAGACAAGTTAAATTGACATGAGTTCCGTACCTAGAAAAAACGATCAATGTAATTCAAGGGTTTTCATCCATTGACAAAAGCGACAGCACAAATTGTCACATCAGTAAAATAGCCCCTTCTCTGATCAGCCTTGCAATTTGAAGGTCCCATCAACGCCAGCTTTCCTCCATGCTCACGAAAAACTTGTTGGCTTGCAACGAGAATGCATCTTCGCCATTCACGTGGAAGCTAATGTCCGACCTTGCTCGAGCATGTATTATAAACTAAACTTATTTATGTCTGAGCAAAGGTTCTGCACCAATACACCTGAACTTACATATTGTCCCCAATGAACTCCAACTCTTAGTTTTATTTGAAGCTTGCTTTCTACAGTGTAGCTCTAAGTTTATTCCTTGCACTTACTGGCTTTCAATAATATAACAGTGTCATTGAGTACTTCTTTAATGTAATCTTTGCCTTAAACTTTAAGATTACTTAAATGTTCATGGATTGCAGTTGGGCCTACCCTTAGTAGAATGTAACAAGGACCTATAATGTTCTACCTTACAAGAAATTATAATTGATCTTCATCTACTTTCACAGTTAATAACAAAAAAATTATTGTTTGTTTATGACTGTTGTTAATCGGGTCATTTGGCCTTTATCTTTCTATTATTGACAAAAAAATCATAAAATTGTGTTTCAATTTTAAGAGTAAAATTGTTTTTGAGTGACAAATCAAACATCACTCTTCATTTTTCAAATATATTGTTAATCGGGTCATTTGGCCTTTATCTTTTTATCATTGACAAAAAAATCATAAAATTGTGTTTCAATTTTACGAGTAAAATTATTTTTGAGTGACAAATCAAACTTGAATTTTTCAAATATATATATATATATATATATATATATATATATATATATATATATCTTGAATTTTTTTATCTCACTGGGTATGATCAGAAAACTGCCTCGCCTAACAGAGGACTCGCACCGCTCATATACAACGGCATTGTGGACCAAATGATGGCAGGGAATATTTGGGGAGTATAATCCTCACGCAAAACCATGCTCACAACTTGATAGCATTTTCGTTGTAATGTACACCATTCGGTTACAGCATCAACAGATTTTTTTTAATTTTTTTTATATTTATTTCCTATCAAAAAATTACAACATTGTCTTCCAAATTCTTCCATTATATATGTATGTATGTATTCATAGAAACGAGGTATGCAAGCCTTTATGTGCAGACATGATTTATCTTAAGCTTTGGTAGGAGGTGTTGACACTTCCTAAGAGAAACATGGGTAAAATTATATTTCATATAAAACAAAATGATTAATAGCTTATGATTATGCAAATTTCTTACTAAGATACTATTAAGTATCTTTTGGCCAATTTTCTATGAGAAATGATCTTTTAACACGTCTCTAACTGAAAAAGGTCACAGTTCAACGTGGTCCTTGGAAGGATTGAGTACAAAAATGTCAATTTGTGCCTAACACAGATAGCCAACCTTGTGTAAAGGATGCTGTAATGTACAATTTGTATCACGTGGAAATGAAAAGGCATATACCAAAATGAAAAGTTTAGGCTATGATGCTTTTTTATTATTATTTTTTAAAGAGAACTAGGGATGGAGACTCAAATACGGACATACATATTTGGAAAGTTAGGCGTTTCTACCGACTAGACAGTTGGATAATACCTATTCTTGTATATAGAAACTTGGAGCTATTGAGAATGGGTCCAACGGGGGAAGGTGAAGTGAAGTGGGGAGAAAGAAAAGAGGGAATCTTTTGAAGTTTGTTATGGTGCTTTTCCAGAGAGAAATGGTGCTTCTTTTTATTAGCAATTATGGGATATGGATATGATCTTCAATTATGTGCGAGTTTTCTTTCTGTTATTGCAAATTGGTGATTTAGCTGATGGCCTACCCCATCTCGTGTCTCTTTCATGATGTTAGTTAAATTGGTTATGGAGATAAGACTACTCATTGGGTTAGGCCAGCTTCAGCCCAGCCTGCATTATGGTTCGGTCTCAACTCTTACCATAGCTGATGGACGTGCCATAATGGGCTCGGCTATTACCGTTCTCAGGTCCAAACTGGGTTTTACGTCTTCTAGCCCAAACCCATTATGAGGTGATCAATAGTTGGACATCTAAACTGGATCCTACATCATACCAGCAGCACACATTCCGTTTTCTTTTTCTTTTGTCTCTCTCTTTGTTATTTTCTTTTGTTCCTTGCTTTTAGCAAGAAAATTAATCAGAGGACACAAGATGCAGATACCAAATGATTCGACACGGAAATTATCAAGAAAATATGATACAAACAAAGCATGAATGTGAAAATAAACTAATTAAACTATATATTATTATATGTGCAAATTTTGATTTTTTTTTTTTTCATTATATAAACATTATTATGAATGTAATCATTAATTTAGAACATAAAACTGGATAAATGAGAGTTTTTTTTTTTTGCTTTCTAAAACGTTACATCAATTTTCTATTAAACCCAGAATATGTTTAAAATGGCACTAGAACTTTATTTTCAAAAAAAAAAAAAAAAAAAAATTATTATTATTATTATTATTATTCACAAAATCACCTTGTTGCTTTTTAAAAGTGTTTTCAACAATATATACATATTGTGGATGGTGTTGCCACAACGGACATTACGTGTAACTCATTGAATGATGATTACATCTGGCTAATGCTGATTGGACCATGCTAGGTCCCACCTGGCACTCTCTAAAAACCCTAATAGCCTTGAGTTACTAGGATTGGACATGCGAGTTCTGAGCTCGCAAGAGAAAAGGGTCGCTACCCTTCTGCCATGGAGGTGCCCCACTCCAGTTAGATGGGCTCCCCCATATCCTAGAGGCCCCTCCCTTCCCTGCAGTACTAAAAAAAGGGACTTAAGAATTCTTTGCCGTGATTGTTCGCCCTAAGCCACCCGTTACAGAAGAGCTCGAGGGATGAAGGAATTTGGGAGTGCGACGTTAAAGAAGGCAGAACCTCGACTTGCAAGATTGGAACCATCATTATTGTCTCTGAACGGAGGCACAGGTTGCCTCAGGCCACCTCCTGACATTCATTCAATCAGGAGGAGGCCTTATCAGCCCATCAGTCAAAGGGAAGTTAACCCTCGCAACCAAGGATCCTTATCATGAAGGAAAATGGTATAAATAGGCACAATAATTAGTCATTAAGATAAGAGACCAAGAATCATAAATTGATAGACATTAGAATTCGAACGACTCAAGGTACTGGTTGGTTGACTTCCTTCTCTTAATCCCTTTATGAGCAGGGAGTCTCTGGTGTAGCTTGAATTCTCACTCACACTAACCTCAGTATTCTTAGCCCACGTAGAATGATCTCCTCATTGCATCACGACCTCACATCTAGACACACACACACACATATATATACAATATGTATGTAAATTTATACTCTTAGCTGTGTGTAGCACGTATGTATCTAGCCCTAGGTTTGTTCATGTCAAAACACGTATCGGATGCTGCTACAACAACAGTGCCCCTTGCCCCCCACTCTACTTTGTTATAATTATAAATTTATATAAAATATTTTTTATAATTATGTAATTGCCCTCACTAGTATTTTATCCAAATTTCTAAAAGACCTCAAATCTACTCAAAATTCAAAAATAGCTACTATAACATTTCTCTCGAGAAGACAACATTACAAAAAAGTTTACTAAAGCCAATTTGATCATTGCTTTAATTTATACACACACACACACATAACCCTGTGATGCGTATACAAAGAGAGAGAGAGAGCGTGAGCCCACTGAATTCTAAAATTGTAAACATCTTTTTGAGAAGCCACCTTCTTCTTTCTCACACACGGCATTGATTTTGCTGGTGGTAGCGGTGATTTTTCAGCAATCAATTTATGAAGGCTCGATACCGCAATTGAATAGAATATTAATAGATGATAATGATTGTGTACATTGAGAGAATAGCATTGACAATAAAATTAGCATCAATTTAACATGTTTTGAATATGAAAACTTGTTAAGAATAGTTATAAATAAAATTTATTATGTATTGGTTATGTTTAGTTGTATGGAATTGGGGTTTTAAATTTAAAATTGGTAAAATTTGAAAAAGCAACTTAGAAAATTTAGCCAAAACTTTTTCCATTTTACCAATTCTAATTTTTATACTCTAATTTTATGCAGCAGAATATAATTATAGTGTATTTGCAAAAAATTGATTTTCGAGAGCGATCCAAAATCATCTCATATTTAACCGCAGAACGAATCAAATATTTTTACAAAGAAAAGAGAGTGAATTATTTATTAAGTAATCATTTGATGACGAAGTACTCATCTACTTTTCGTATGGGATTATTCTAATATCCCCCAACCAACCAAACATAAAAATT